ATGAGAAAGGGACGTCTTGTTGATGAATGAAAGATTATATGTAGAAAAAATTATGCTTCATTACCCCTGTCCGGCAAATAATACGCAAGAGGTGTTGAGATGTTCCAACACCGTTTAGACAACGCCAATCGCAGTGGCATCATCAAGTCTGCATTCGCCACACACACTTTGTGGTCAAACATGCAAACGAACAGCGCTTTGGTGTATAAATGTTCGCATTGCCCTCGGAACCTGATTGGGCCGCACCAGAGACGGCCATCCTTCTTTGTCTCGGCTCACCACCGGTGTTAGACAGGAGAACAACGCCAAAAAGATGAACGGTACAAGGGAAATGCAACCGAAACATGCTGTGATAATGATGTACGCATTGTGCTCGGAACTGATTGGTCAGCACCAAAGACGGCCATCCGTCGTGGTCTAGATTGACCACCGGTGTTAGACCGGAGAACAACGCCAAAAGGCGAACAGGCACAAAAGGCAATGCACAATATGAAAGCATTAATAGCCCGGGTTGAGCAGTTCTTTCACGTCTGACGTGATCTTTTCTCCTCAACCGTGTCGCATTCAATTCCGTGTTTTGGGGAAGCAACTTGTGCCGCATCATCACATCGCTGTGCTCCTGCTGACGATGCTGATGCTTGCTGCCCTTGCGTTGAGTTGTGAGGAATACGGCGGGGCATTGAAAAAAGCGTTTCGAGACACGAGGCGAATTCGCATTCGCATATCAATAAACCTCTTCCACTGCTTTCACTGTCATTGTTCCATTATCGTCATCATGAACCCGCGTGTGCGATTGTGTGCGTGTGGCTAATGTAAGGCTCCCCTCGGGATAGTCATGTTGGGCGAGTTTAATGCCCGTGTGGGTCCAGTTGCAGGCACCTCGGCCGGAATGTTGGAAGGTATGGGCCAGATCGGCTCAATAACAGCAGTGACGAGATGCTAACTACCTCGCCTGAGTTACAGGAGGTAGTGGGTTCGAGCCCAGCTTGCCCGTATAGTTGGAATTTCTATGTTCTCTCTCCCCGTGGTCGCGTGGATTTTTCTCCGGGTCCTCTGGGTTTTCCCTCCACATTTAGAAACGTGCGTTGAGAGTATTTGGCTGCTTTAAATTTCCACATGACGATGAGCCACTACACCGGACAGAAAATATGGCTAAATAATATGGGAGCCAGAGGACATCCCGGTCGCATCCCAAGGTGAACAGGGAATGGCTCCGACTCCCGGCCACCTCGTTTTACCCAAGCCCCTTCACCATCATGAAGGTCTTTGATGATTGTGAGCAGAGGGTCAGGGACTTCAAAAGCGCGAAGAACAACCCAGAGCCCAGGCCTACTGATGGTATCAGAGGCCTTGACCAGGTCACTAAAACAGAGATGTAGATCCTGTTGGAAATCCCTACACCGGACAGAAAATATGGCTAAATAATATGGGAGCCAGAGGACATCCCGGTCGCATCCCAAGGTGAACAGGGAATGGCTCCGACTCCCGGCCACGTCGTTTTACCCGGGCTTGCCCACCATCGTGTAGGCCCTTAGTGATCGTGAGCGGAGAGTCGGGGGCTCCGAAAGCACGAAGAACTGTCCACAGCCCTGGCCTGTTGATGGTATCATAGGCCTTGACCAGATCAATAAAGCAGAGATGTTAGGTCTTCTTCTTGGTTCTTTCGGTAAAGTCACGTAGAATGGAAATAATAAAATAATAAAAATAAAACAATAATATAATTCTCACGACGTTTCGGCCACAACGCAAGAAGCCGTCCTCAGGTGGAGAACAGGTCTGTCGAGAAGACAGAGTCTTCAGACTCTTCAGACTCTGTCTTCTCGACAAACCTGGGCGATGTTTACTGCACGCACGGCACCGGGTGCTCATTTGAGGCTGGGTCGACCTAGGGGAGGCCCGGGAGCGGCTCAGATAATCGTCACTGGTGGTGTTGGCCGTGAGCGGGAGTCGAACCCCGGGTTTCTTAGCGTAGCGCTCACCACTACACCACCGCTCCCCACACTCACACACCCCTCCCCCCCCACACACACCCCCCCACACACACCCCACACACACCCCCCCACCACACACCCCCCCACACACACCCCACACACACCCCCCCCCACACACCCCACACACCCCCCCCTACACACACCCCCCCACACACACCCCCCCCACACACCCCCCCCCACACACACCCCCCACACACACCCCCCCACCACACACCCCCCCACACACACACCCCACACACACCCCCCCCCACACACCCCACACACCCCCCCTACACACACCCCCCACACACACCCCCCCCACACACCCCCCCCCCACACACACCCCCCACCCACACACACTCCCCACACACACCCCCCACACCCCCCCCCCACACACACAACCCCCCCCCACACACACCCCCCCCACACACCCCCACCCCCCACACACCCCCCCCCACACACCCCCCCACACACACCCCCCACACACACCCCCCCACCTCCCCCACCCCCCACACACCCCCCCACCCCCCCCACCCCCCACACACCCCCCCACACACACCCCCCCACCCCCCACCCCCACACACCCCCCCCCACACAACCCCCCCCCACACAACCCCCCACACACCCCCCCACACCCCCCCACACACCCCCCCCACACACATCCCCCACACACCCCCCCACACACCCCCACACCCCCCCCACCCCCCCCCCCCACACCCCCCCCGCACACCCCACCACCACCACACACCCCCCCCCCCACACACCCCCCCCCACACACCCCCCACCCCTCCCCCCACACACAACCCCCACACACCCCCACACACCCCCACACCCCCCCCCCACACCCCCCCCACACCCCCCCCCACACCCCCCCACCACACCCCCCCCACACCCCCCCCCACCGCACTAAACACCTCTCTCTGCACCGCGTCGTCTTGTCCCCCATCTACAACTCAAGCTCCGCCCCCTCCCCCCCCACCTCCTACGTCACCGCTGACGTCATCGGCCACGCCCCCTTTCTCTCTCCCGAGTAGCTGCCGCCCCCCACCCACCCCCACCTCCCCCCCGCTGACGTCACCGCTGACGTGATCGGCCACGCCCCCTTTCTCGCGAGTAGCTGCCGCCCCACCACCCACCCCCACCTCCCCCCGCTGACGTCATTAGCCACGCCCCCTTTCTCCCGAGTAGCTGCTCCCCACCCACCCCGATGACGTCACCGCTGACGTCATTAGCCACGCCCCTTTCTCCCGAGTAGCTGCCGCCCCCTCCCCCACCCCCCCCCGATGACGTCACCGGTGACGTCATTAGCCACGCCCCTTTCTCCCGAGTAGCTGCCGTCCCCTCGGGCGCGTCTTGTACCGAACATCGAGTCGCCTCGGCCCCTGAAAGGCGCGCGGCTTCTCACAGGCCTCCATCATCTCCTCCTCCTCCTCTTCCACCTCCTCTCTCCATCTCACCACCACCTCCTCCATCGTCGTCTTCCTTTGTGGAAGAAGTCTACGGCGGCTACGGCGGCTACGGGCGCCGAAGAAACGACTCGGAGAGAGGTTCACGATTCGCGTTCATTACTTCACGAATCGCTCTCTTCTCTCTCCCTTCTCTCTCTTCTCTCTCTCTCTTCTCTACAAACATTCGATGGCTACCATCGTGTCGTGTTCGCTTCTCGCTGTGGTCGCAAAGAAGCGGCCACCGCAGGCTACACGGGGGAGCTTTGTCTTTGTGTGTTGTCATAGGCACTTGCCCCCCTATAGGCTGTTAGAGGCTACACGGGGGACCTTTGTCTTTGTTCATAGGCACTTGCCCCTACAGTCTGCTAGAGGCTACGCGGGGGAGCTTTGTCTTTGTGTGTTCATAGGCACTTGCCCCCCCCCTATAGACTGTTAGAGGCTACACGGGGGACCTTTGTCTTTGTGTGTTCATAGGCGCTTGCCCCCTATAGGCTGTTAGAGGCTACACGGGGGAGCTTTGTCTTTGTGTGTTCATAGGCACTTGCCCCTACAGTCTGTCACAGGCTACACGGGGGGCCTTTGTATTTGTGTGTTCATAGGCACTTGCCCCTTCAGTCTGCTCGAGCCTATACGGGGGACCTTTGTCTTTGTGTGTTCATAGGCGCTTGCCCACCTATGGGCTGTTAGAGGCTACACGGGGGAGCTTTGTCTTTGTGTGTTCAAAGGCACTTGCCCCTACAGTCTGTTACAGGCTACACAGGGGACCTTTGTCTTTGTGTGTTCAAAGGCACTTGCCCCTACAGTCTGTTACAGGCTACACGGGGGACCTTTGTCTTTGTTTGTTCAGAGGCACTTGCCCCTACAGTCTGTTACAGGCTACACGGGGGACCTTTGTCTTTGTGTGTTCAGAGGCACTTGCCCCAGCAGTCTGTCACAGGCTACACAGGGGATCTTTGTCTTTGTGTGTTCATAGGCACTTGCCCCTACAGTCTGTTACAGGCTACACGGGGGACCTTTGTCTTTGTGTGTTCAGAGGCACTTGCCCCAGCAGTCTGTCACAGGCTACACGGGGGGCCTTTGTCTTTGTGTGTTCATAGGCGCTGCTGTTACTCGCTACTAACAGCACTTGCCCCTACAGTCTGTTACAGGCTACACGGGGGACCTTTGTCTTTGTGTGTTCAGAGGCACTTGCCCCAGCAGTCTGTTACAGGCTACACGGGGGACCTTTGTCTTTGTTTTATCTGTGGCATTTATACAGGACCAGCAAAGGGCGGTCCTGCACAGATGCCATATTTTCTGTCCGGCGTAGGGAATTCCAACAGGATCTACATCTCTGTTTTGGTGACCTGGTCAAGGCCTCTGATACCATCAGTAGGCCTGGGCTCTGGGTTGTTCTTTGCGCTTTCGGAGTCCCTGACTCTCTGCTCACAATCATCAAGGACCTTCATGATGGTGAGCAGGCCCGGGTAAAACTACGTGGCCAGGAGTCTGAGCCATTCCCTGTTCACCTTGAAGTACGACAAGGATGTCCTCTGGCTCCCACCATTATTTAATATCATCTTTGGCCACATAGTTTGAGAAGCTTCCCATGGCTGTACCGGAGGAATTTATATTTGGTACAGATACAATGGGAGGCTCATCAATGCCCAGGTGCGGTCGAAGGATGGCTCCCTATTTGTCAACCATGTTATGTATGATCATGATCTGGTGATTGATGCTCACTTAGAGGAGGAGTTGGAGGCGCTGCTGCTGAACCTGGAGTGTGTCCCTAAGAGGTGGGGTCTTACCATCAGCTCCACCAAAACGAAGCACCTGCCTGGGTATTTTGTGCCACCAAACACTCCACCCCTTCAGTTCCCCATTGGTGATATAGTAGTTGTGGAGAGAGTGGATAGGTTCCCATACATGGGCAGTGTGCTCATGACCGGCCCCGGTTTGACAGCAGAGGTCTCACTCCGAATCACTCAAGCGGCATTATCTTATCGGCTGCGTAATGCTTTGTGGAAGCTACCTGGTCTGTCACTTCACACGAAGCTTCAGGTCTTCTCGGCCATAGTCATGCCCTCCCTTCTCTATGGTTGCGAAACGTGGAACCCCCTAATGAAACACCTTTGCCGGTTAGAAACATTTCGACTGGCCTACCTATGATCCATCCTGGGTTTAACCAGGCTGGATTGTGTAAGCTTACAAATCCTTGAAAGATCTGGACAAAGTCCCATCGGTGAGCTCCTCCGGCAGGCAAGGCTGCAGTGGCTGGGTCGTGTAGCCTGTATGCCCAGCCACCACATGCCTAAACAGCTTTTCTTTAGCCGGATAGAAGGGGCAAAACGGGCACGGCACGGGCTAGTGTAGAGATGGAGTGATGTGGTACAGGAGGACGTGGAGCTGAGTGGACTTGCCGATGACTGGTACCAGCGGTGTCAAAATCGGCCTCTGTGGAGGAGGCTCGTGAAGGACGCTGCTGGGCAGTTGGAGGCAGTCGCCCTCCAACAACAACGGAGGGCAGAGGAGCGACGCTCACAACAACAAGCGGAGCGCCCGGTGGCTAAAACAGCAAGTTGGCACAGTAGGGGGCACAGTAGGGGGCACAGGTGGTGCATCGGCCAGTCGTCTCAGTTAATCGACCCATGGCACCGGGATCTTTCCCGTGATATCCTGCCAGCGGGCGTTCGACACTTCACGTGGCCTTAATGCGCACATAGCCTGGCACAAGCGCCGTGGTGACATCACTGCCAATGGCAGCTGTTGTATATGTATGAAAGCTGCCTGCCGAGCAGTACACAGTACACAGTGTTGTATCTCTGTGGATCTTCATAACTCTGCGTGTATCTCTGTGTATCTCTATATATATATGTGTGTGTATGTATGTATCTATGTGTGTATGTGTGTGTATGTATCTATAAGGCGGCCTGGCATGGTGCTGGCCACCCTACCCCCTCGTGAGCCTTTTCTGCCTTCGTAGGTGCTCACTAACAGCACTTGCCCCTACAGCCTGTTAAGCCTATACAGGGGATCTTTGTATGTATCTGTCTATCTGTGTGTATCTCTGTATGACAGCCACCTGCCGAGTAGTACACACACACACGGTGCGCACACAGCCCAAGGTGTTGTAGGTCCCGCACCCGACCACGTAGCCTTCACTCCGCGTGCACTCAAAACCACACGGCAGCGCAAATTTCTGGGAGAAAGTGGAATTTCGGCCGCACAACACGGCGTTCCCGCGTGGAGCGGCTAAGACGGCGGGGGGAGTACCCCGAGCGAGCGAGCGAGTGTGTGTGTGTGTGGAGAACATCGAATCGGATGTCGAAATTGGTATAATTTTTTTTATTTCGCTTTTAATTTTTGGCTTGCTCGCTCACCCCCCCCCCCCCGCCCTTCCCCGGTCAGATGGCTTCGCACATTCAATTGCCGTTCATCAAACGAGAGAAGGACGAGACCGGTGGCCTCGGGATGTGGCCCAACTCGATGGAGAGGACCGGAGGACGACGACGCTGGTGAGATCGGCGGTGCCGGCACTTGTCTCTCCATTGCCGGTGCTGCCCGGTCCTCCCTCTCGTTCCGTCCGTGAATCCTTTCGAGGAGTTGGTGGTGGTGGTGGTGGTCGGGGGGGAGGAAGGGACACCCGATGGCTAAATAAACAACAACAACAAAAACTACTACATCAGAGCCCCCTACTCTTAACGCTTATTGGTTCCCACGAAACAGGTCGTCGAGCGATTTTGTTCGTACGGCGAGTATATAGGAAATACGGCGGTTAAATGCTTAATTCGTTCCGAATAGCATCGAAAGTTACCCCCCTTTTTCACCCAAGAAACGTCCTTTCAAATATTTAAACGATGGCTATTAATACGTAAAGTTACTAACATTACAAACACGTGTTGTTTAAAGGAACGTGCTTAATCGATGCATTAATATTTACTGTACCTACAACAGCCCGTCGTTAACAGCGAAATGGTCGTTAGGCGAACACACTGGGCTCTAAGGAGGCACTACACTCCTATACACGACTATACATTACACTACTATACACTACTCTATACACTACTATACACTACACTATACACCACTACACATTGGGCTCTATGGAGGTCCATTGTTATGTTATTAGTCGTTATTGGGTAGTTGTTAAGAGGGGTTCTACTCTACACCACTATACACTACACTACTATACAGGACACTACTATACACCACTACTATACACTACACATTGGGCTCTATGGAGGCCAATCGTCAAGTGATTAGTCGTGAACAGTGGTGGTCGTTAAGAGGGGATTCTACTGTAACAAAGTAGTGACTCTGCATCGTGCTCTGAAGGGAGGGGAGGGGGAGCCTTCCACAGCAGCTGAGCACCAGGATGGTGTGGAGAGGTGGTGGTGATTGTGAAAACGGCAAAAACTTTCATTCAAAAGTCCGCAGACACAAAGATCCCCCGATATAGCCTTACCAGACTTGGAGCAAGTGCTGTTAGCGAGCACCTATCAAGGCCGACGCGGCACGCGGGAGGGTGGGTGGCCAGCACCACGCCCGGCCGCCTTTGTCTCCCCAGTGGCGATGTTTACTACACACTGTACCGGGTACTCATTTGAGGCTGAGTCGACCTAGGGGAGGCCCGGGACCAGGTTCAGATAATCGTCACTGGGAGTGTTGGCCATCAGTGAGAATCGAACTCGGGTCGCCGGGTTCGTAGCCCAGCGTAGCGCTGACCGCTACGCCACCGATCAGAGACACACCCTCCACGTCACAAAACTCCGCAACTCAATCTTCTCAGCTCAAAATCTGCCCAAATCTAAATTGGGGGGGCGGCGTGCCTCGTAACTCTGTTGTGCACGTGGGGCCTCGGGGTCCAATCCCTGGTCACCAATTGCATTCACTTGAATCATAATAATAATATTTAAAAAACTCTCACCTGCCTTACACGTAGCAACCAGTTCATCACAGTTGAGCTAACACATCAGCTACATCTTTGCCACTTGAACCTCGTGATTTGTCTCAAGTGAGGCTTGCCCGTCTCATCGGTGTCCTCCTTTTGTGTACGTGTTCATTTATTTGTAATGTCAACGATAACAAATGCAGGAAAGCACGGTCCGCAAACTTACAGAACCTCTTAACGACCAGTTAACATTAATGTTAACTTCCTCGCCTGGAATACCGGCGGTCCGTGGGTTCCATCCCGACCCTGACACTGCCTGCTGTATATTTGGAGTTTGCGTCTCTCTCTCTCCCTTACCTTGGAGATGTTAACGACCTCGCAGGAGGTTGTGGTTTCAATCCCGACCCTGATGCCTGTTGTATATTTGGAGTTTGCATATTTCTCTCTCTTCATAGTCTTGTGGATTTTTCTCCGGATCCTCCGTTTTTTTTCTTTCTTTCTCCACACGTATAAAAATGCGTTTAGAGTATTTGGCTCCTGCTATACAATTCCACACGACGATGATGATGATGATGAAAAGCCACTTAATTGAGCTATAATTGTGATTGGCCAGGGTCGCTTCTGAAAATAGAGCTACGAAACAGCAGCTCAGTGTGGGGCCTTACCTGATAAAATAAAAAATAAAATTGTTGTCTTCTTGTCGTATGGCTGATGCAGAGCAACAACTATAATTTCACATTCAGATGTTCAAGCCAGGAGCAGCGGAGTGTATCGCTGCGAAGTCTCTTTCGTAATTTAATGATGAGTTAAATAGTTAGCCTAGGAACAGCTCACTTCGGGCCTAGATCTAGGTTTCCCTAGAACAAGGGCTCTGCTTTTTTTTTGTTTTTAGAGCAGAGCCTAGGTACAGAGAATCCTCATTCGACGCGATCGCAGGAGTGTTTTCTCAGGACCATTATTCACATTGCATTGTGGTTCTTGAAATACAGTTGATCATCGATTTTCCGACTTCTAACATTATACGGCTGCGGTCCCGGTACGATCTGGCAAATCCGCTCCAAAGGCTGTAACCAGTCCGGCGATCGGCACCGTGTAGCGTCACATAACAGGTAGCTACGCTTGATTTCAGTGTTACTTTAAATGCTACGTACAACAACTTAGACAATGAAAATACCGCACTTGTATTTATACATCACCCCGTGATATGCAGTCTTCGAGATTGGAGTGGTAAGTGCGGTACAGTAAATAGTAACTTTTTAAAGTAGGATCTTTATTTTTTTCTTCTTGTTTCTATCGGTAAAGTCACGTAGAAGGGAAGTAATAAAATAATAAAAATAAAACATAATAAAACAATTCTCACGACGTTTCGGCTACAACGCAAGCAGCCGTCTTCAGGTGAAGAATGAGACACTACCAAACTAGGAGCTTATATATAAGCTGCATTGGGGGTTGAAGAGCGCCTTAACAAAAAGAATGTGCATGTGAAGAGGGATTTAGCATATTCATGGAAAATGCGTAGGCGTTGGGCGGGGGGGTGTCAAAGTCATATTATGCCCATGCATTATGCAGGATCAGCAGCAACCAAGGGGGGTGCAAGGATTAGCAGTAACAAAGGAAAGGAATGTTAATGATATGTAGCTGCAGTTACTCAACAACCACGTAGAAAACTAAAGTATAAACTACATAAAAAACTAAAGTATAAACTGCATCGCACCATCAGTATACTTACTATACTCTATAATAAGCTGAGTTACTAACAGCAAGTAATACATTACAATTTTACCTCGTAAAAATTCTATAATATGCTTCCATCTAAACCTTATTCTCTTACATCACACGAGCATATACCGTACTATATACTGCCATAGATAAACCCAACATTAAATTATATACTGTATTGCTGTAAACCAACCTATATCTTATACATTCTTGCACATTCTTGCACATTCTTTTTGTTAAGGCGCTCTTCAACCCCCAATGCAGCTTATATATAAGCTCCTAGTTTGGTAGTGTCTCATTCTTCACCTGAAGACGGCTGCTTGCGTTGTAGCCGAAACGTCGTGAGAATTGTTTTATTATGTTTTATTTTTATTATTTTATTACTTCCCTTCTACGTGACTTTACCGAAAGAAACAAGAAGATGAATCCCTGCAGTCACGAAAGCTTTAAATAGGATCTTTATTATTTGTCTGTTTGTATGTTTATGCGAATTTCACACGGTCTACAAATTGAAAACATTCAAAACAACCACATATACACACACACCTTCAACAATAATGTCGTACAAGAATGTGCAGCAAATGTTAAATCGTGATGATTTAGCGATTATCGGGCGTTTTTGAAAATCCGGTGCCCCCACCCTTGCTTGGATAATCGACGATCTGTCCATAAACAAACGTAAAAAAATTAACCCGTAAAAACAAAGTTTTTCACTATAAATCCTTTATATGCGTGGCGGCTAGAGTCCTCTCGTCCTCTGGCTTGAGATGGCTGCCACCTATGGGTCAGATGATTGCCTGCCACCATTAAGCAATTGGTAATTAAATATAATTTATTTTTTCCTAAAAAGTGTAACATTTTGGAAAAAAATTTTCACGAAAATCAATTGTCTCGCACAACGAGTCTGTGTGCAAAATGTCAGCTCGATTGGATCACGGGAAGTGGGTTAAAAAACGACCGAAAGATTTGCACGGTCGTAAGCGCGCAAGCAAGCAAGCAAGTGAACTTAATATAAAGGATTAAAAAATACGGGGCTGGTCGTGGTTTACGCGTTTTAATCGCCGTGTCGATTCGTCGCCAATCAATCCGTGGGTCAAAGTAACGATCTTACACGCCCCCCCCCACCCCGCCACCCCCACCTTTCAGCTGATTCTTTAGTATCGGTAAAGATCGTTGAATCTGTCGCGGCCCCCCCTTATTATCGTACCGAATGACGGAAAAAAATGGCTCTTCTTCTTTCTGGTTGGATTGCCGATCCCCTGACCCCCCCCCCTCCCCCCCGTATTAGACCTCCCATTTATAATTTAACGATTGTGCTCAATGTTTTTTGTTTTTACTTTACACGCACATGCACGCAAATTACAGCGCAGGATTTGACGATGATTAAAGCCGAGGGAGCCAGGGTGAGGCCGGAGGAGGCGGGAAGTTCCCACGGGTTCCTCGCCGCCAGGGATCGCAGCTTCATCGACGCGGAGTTGTCGCCGAGGATCGTCGGACAAGGTGAGTCCGCCCCCGTCGTGCCGCGGAGAATACGCGGCGAGGCGTTCGCTCCGTCCATCGCCATGGTACGCAGGAGGTCGTGGGTTCGATCCCGACCCTGGCAGATGCCTCGTTTTGTAATATGCCGCCCAGGTTGCGTTTCTCTCCGGGTTTTTTTTCACCCCCCCCCCCTCCACGTTTAGAATCGATGTCACGCGTTTTAAGAGGTGTTTGGCTGTCGCTATGAATTCCCAAGTGGAGATGATGATAAGCTTGTCATCTGTGATGGCCAGAGTCACTTCTGAATACGTATAACCCGTAAAAACAAAGTTTTTCACTATAAATCCTTTATATGCGTGGCAGCGAACTTAATATAAAGGATTAAAAAATATATTCGCCTGTGGAGGACGCGGGGATCGATCCCGCGACCTTTGGCATGGGAAGCGAGGGCGCTACCAACTGCGCTACTCCGCCACGGCCTGTGGAGGGGTTACGCTCTGGGCTCTTATACTCTGACGTTCAGCCAAAGCCATGAATGAGTTCTATTTGAATATATGTAAAATAAAAAATTTTGCCTAAAAAGTGTAAAATTTTGGGAATTTTTTTTCACGAACAATAATTGTCTGGCACAACGAGTCTGTGTGCAAAATGTCAGCTCCATTTGGTTCACAGGAAGTGGGTTAAAAAACGACCGAAAGATTTGCACGGTCGTAAGCAAGCACGCAAGCAAGCATGCGAACTTAATATAAAGGATTTAAAAAGAACTGCCGTTGCTCAGCGGGTCTTATCTGGTAAAAAGAAAAAGTTATATTTGTATGTATTTTTTTTATTATTAGCTTACCTTTCCTATACTTTGGGTCTTCCCTGCTAAAAATATGAATAGTTGAGTTTTATTCATATATATTTTTTCGTGATTCGCTTACCTTTAATATACTTTGCACTGCGTAGCCGGATGTAGACTTACCTGTGATTATAATTGTGCACTTTGCAGCTATAAATTTGCACGATGATGATGATGATAAGTCGCTTTGTTGAGCTATAATTTTTGAAGGCCAGGTCGCTTCTGAGAAAAAAGATGAACAAAATGAGAGAGCGGTAGACAAAACGCTAAAATGGTTAAAAAGATGAAAAGTGCACGTTTGTAATTACATGAAACAGAGGGTAGATTTCACGTTGTGAATTGTAATTTTGGGTTTGGTCGTGTTGTGTCAAAAAAAAAGTGTCTAAAACCCTCCTCCGCCCGACTCAGCCACCCCCTCCGGTGAAATAAATCGTGCAAAATATTGACACGGGGATTGAACCTCGCTCCGCGCACGTGCGCGTCAGGCCACGTCCAAGACAGGCGAGGCTTTCATCCAGCAGCGGATAGACCACGGCCGGCGACGAGCATGTGCGGGACTAGGCCACGTGACGTCCGGACGCTGTGTCGTGCAGGCGCTCGTGAAAGGGGTGGGGGAAACCGACGGCTTGGGGGGTGTTTAAAAACTCCTTGCATCTTAAAACGTGATGTGGCAAGTTGAATTATGGGGGTCACTGGGGAATGTCTTTGTTGACGACAACGTAACGGTCACAGCCCCCGTGTTGTTAAAGAATAATGAGGGTGGGCGGGGGATAAAAACTACTGAAAATAGACGCAAGTTTATTCATATTCTTAGGTTTTTTCGGTAAAGTCACGTAGGTAAAAAATTAAAAGTAATAAAATTTAAATAAAAATCGCGAAATTCCACCTATTTGTTAGAGTTTTTAACAGACGAGACAAGAAGTCACAGCTTCTCGAGACGCTGGCCTTCCTAAAGAGATGCCGCACTTGATACAGCTATCGTGCTGTGACGGTTCCACCTGAAGACGGAAGCTTGTGTTGCCTTCGAAACGTCGGGATTTTTATTTTATTTTTATTTTACTTTTATTAATTTAAATTTTAATTTTTTTACCTACGTGACTTTACCGAAAAAACCTAAAAATATGAATGGGAACGTGTGCATCATCTTGGCAGACGGTTTCAAATGTAGTAGCAACATTCTGTGCACGCACCTCCCCTGGTATCGGTGGTCCCGGCACTACGTACTACAACTCGCGATTACCGGAATCCGGCAGGTTGCAAATAATGAATTGGAACACCGCAGTGGCTGGGAGATGTTACCTTTCTGGATTTGAAGCTTTCGTGACTGCAGGAATCCATACTCTTTGTTTCTTTCGGTAAAGTCACGTAGTTAGAAAAAATAATAGATCACGACGTTTCGAGCTCTCTCCCACCTGAAGACGATTGCTTGTGTGGCGATCGAAACGTCGTGATCTATTATTTTTTTCTACCTACGTGGCTTGACCGAATGAACCAAAGAAGATGTTATCTTTCTCACCTGGTATGTGTTTGATCCCGACTCTCTTTGACGCCTGCTGTATATTTTTGAGTTTGCGGGTCTCTCTCTCTCACCCCTTGGCCACGTGGATTTTCCCCTCCACATTTAGAATCAACGTCACGCATTGAGTGTGTCTGTCCGCTGCTATACATTGCCACGTGGTGATGATAAGCCACTTGGTTGAGTTGTTGTCATTTCGATTTAAAGCTTTGGTGACTGCAGGGATTCATCTTCTTGGTTCTTTCAGTAAAGTCACGTAGAAGGGAAATAATAAAATAATAAAAATAAAACATAATAAAATAATTCTCACGACGTTTCGGCCACAACGCAAGCAGCCGTCCTCATTCTTCACCTGAGGACGGCTGCTTGCGTTGTAGCCGAAACGTCGTGAGAATTATTTTACTATATTTATTTTTTATTATTATATTATTTCCCTTCTACGTGACTTTACTGTTGTCATTTGTAATAGCCAGGCCTGAAATGGAGCTACATAGCTCAGCTCAGTGGGCCTTACCAGGTAAAATAAAAAATATCTAGTTAAGTAGTAACTCAGAAATATGCGAAACTCACAAATCCTGAAATCCTACGTGGCTAGAGTTTCCCATAATTGAACCTTGAACCCGACGCTCTTCCGTCTCGTTTTCTAATTTGCTACGTTGTGCGCGGCAGGTGAAGGCGGTTCGATGGGGCCGCTTTGCGTGGAGTGCCGCAAGGACTTTGGCGGGCGAATGCGAACGAAGGCGGACGGGGCGAAAAGACCGGGCCAGTCGCCGCGCGGCTGCGCCCAGTGCGGCAAGAAACTCGGCGCCGTGTCGTCGTACGCCGGACGCAAGAGACGAGCCGACGATAGGCCGCGGCCGGGCGCGACCCGCGCGGACACGGGGCCCCCGCCGCCCCTGCCGCTCCCGCCGTCCCTGCCGCTCCCGCCGCTCCTACCGCCCCTGCCGCCCATCGGCACGTCGGCGGGGGACGAAGAGACAGCGAGCGCCCCCGGCGAGAAGCGTCACGGGTGCGGGGTCTGCGGCAAGCGCTTCGCGCAGCGCTTCCACCTGGAGAGGCACACGCGCACGCACACGGGCGAGAAGCCGTTCGTGTGCGAGGAGTGCGGCAAGGGCTTCGCGCAGCGCTCCAACCTGGAGACTCACGCGCGAACGCACTCGGGCGAGAAGCCGTACGTGTGCCAGGAGTGCGGCCGGAGATTCTCGAAGCGCTCCACCCTGGAGAAGCACGCGGGCAAGCACCTGGAGGACGAGAGCCCGCACGTGTGCGGCGAGTGTGGCAAGGCGTTCGCCCACCACTTCCACCTGGAGAAGCACGCGAGGAAGCACGCGGTCGAGAAGCCGCACACGTGCGCCGAGTGCGGAAAGGCGTTCGCGCAGCGCTCCAGCCTGGAGATGCACGCGCGCACGCACACGGGAGAGAGGCCGTACGTGTGCCAGGAGTGCGGCCGGGGTTTTTCCCACTGCTCCACGCTCAAGAAGCACTCGAGGACGCACACGGGCGAGAAGCCGCACGTGTGCAAGGAGTGCGGCAAGGCGTTCATACAGCGCTGCGCCCTGAACATGCACGCGCGCACGCACACGGGCGAAAAGCCGTACATGTGCGTGGAGTGCGGCAAGAGGTTCACCAAGCGCTTCAACCTGGAGATGCACTGCCGCACGCACACGGGCGAGAAGCCGCACATGTGCACCGAGTGCGGCAAGGGCTTCACGGCGAGCACCGACTTGAACAAGCACTCGAAGACGCACACCGGCGAGAAGACGCACATCTGCAAGGAGTGTGGCAAGATGTTCTCGAAGCGCTCCACGCTGGAGACGCACTCCCGCACGCACACGGGCGAGCGACCGTACATGTGCGAGGAGTGCGGAAAGCGCTTCACGCAGCGCTACAACCTGAAGATGCACTCGCGCACGCACACGGGCGAGCGTCCGTACATGTGCGTGGAGTGCGGCAAGGGCTTCTCTCAGCGCTCCACCCTGGACACGCACTCGCGGACGCACACGGGCGAGAAGCCGTACATGTGCGTCGAGTGCGGCAAACGCTTCGCGCAGCGCTACAACCTGGAGATGCACTCGCGGACGCACACTGGCGAGAAGCCGCACGTGTGCAAGGAGTGCGGCAAGGGCTTCTCCCAGCGCTCTACCCTGGACACGCACGCGCGCACGCACACGGGCGAGAAGCCGTACATGTGCGTCGACTGCGGTAAGAAGTTCACGCAGCGCTACAACCTGGAGATGCACTCGAGGACGCACACGGGCGAGAAGCCGCACCAGTGCAGGGAGTGCGGCAAGGGCTTCTCCCAACGATCCACCCTGGAGACCCACGCCAGAACGCACACGATCGAGCGGCCGTACATGTGCGTGGAGTGCGGGAAGAGGTTCACGCAGGGCTACGACTTGGAGATGCATTACAGAACGCACATCGGTGAGAAGCCGCACATGCCCCAAGATTGCGGGAAGGGCTTCATGTGAAATTGTCAGCGGCGGGGTGCGGGATTTGTGACCGCCGTGCTCCGATGGGGAAAACCGTTGATCCGCAACGGGTTTTCCCCCTTCGGGATTCGAAGGGAGGATTCGATGCATGTGTGTCCGAGGAGTTAAAATTGATTTAATATCCTGAATTGTTACATCCCCGATTGTATATAGTCGTTAATCTTCTTCTTTGTGTAACCGATGTTGTTGCTCTGGAGCGGCGTTTCTCAAAATAACTTTTGTTTGGCCCGGCGAAACCGCTCGGCCGATGCAAACATTTCTGCGGAACGCCCAGACCAACCCCCCCCTCCCCCTCCATTATCCATCCCTGCCGACGAAATGCATTCACTTATCTCTCTCTAAATACAGGGACTCCTCCACTTACGAACGAGTTAGGTTCCAGAGGTACTGTTCGTAAGTCGATTTGTTCGTAAGTCCAACTTTACGATTACAACCGTGTTGTACGGCACGGACACTAAACTCGGGGAATGGCTTTAAAAGTTGTGTAATCTCCTGTAGATGCCCACCGGCTTTTCTTACGACCACCGTCAACACTTTCACCTTTGCTCCTGCGACGCGATGGTGGGTCAATGATGTTCGTGAAAGAGCAGAGAGAACGTCGGAGTGAAACCGCACAGCGACAACGCAACAGCAACAGACGATGGCGGCGGCCCAGGCAGAAATGCTGGGTAATGAATGGGAATGCTGGGTAATGAATGGGAATGCTGGGTAATGACACCGAACAACCACCGCCATCCGAACAGGCAACTGGTCGTACAGACCGGATTTGTTCGTGTCTCTGAAAGTTCGTAAGTCGAATGTACGTAAGTAGAAGAGTCCCTGTACCGGTCATACAAAATGATTCATATTAGCGGAACTTAAAAAGAAACAATTTGAATGCAGCTTATTTGGAGAGGGGGGAGAGGGAGGAGCATTTAGATCTTAGGGGTTAGGGTAGTTTGATCAGGGGTAGTTTGCCTAACTTAATACTTTTTTTGTTATTAAATATCACTAGCTAAGATGTTCATTAACGTCCATGACAAAAGGTGTTTATTTGCGGAGCAACCTGCGTTTGCATCGCAGCCACCGCGAGGTCCAGCCGGAGGACTGTCGGGGTACCTCTGGTGGTACCGGGGGTACCTCTGGTGGTACCGGAGGGGAACCACACTTTAACCACACCACTTTTGTGTCGAGCGGTGACAACGATAATTTCACATCGAGGTGGTCAATGAAACCGGACGGTTGCGTCTGGAGCAATCAATCATCGCCGTTGCGATGATGATACCTCCTCCGTGTTTGTGAATCGGGCATCGAGGCGATCTATTCTGGGTGACGATAGTCGCACGCCAGAGATGTATATCTTTTATTCGTTTGCGCATCATCTTCAAGTTGTTAGGTTTGCGCGTTTTTTTTTGTTATTGCCGTTTATAGAGTCGTGCCCGTCGGAGGTGGTCGGGGTGGTCTCGTCGCTGCGTTTTGTCGTTCTTAACGGCCGTTTGTTGCTTAAGTCGCGTTTGCGAGCGGGGGTGTTGTGTTTCTTTATTTATTCGACCCCTGTCGTAAGTGCTTGACATGGGGCGGTCACCCTCGACTCTTCAAATCGTTTTTGTTCTTGTTATCTACGGCCGCAGCTGCGTGTGGCCGTCCGGTGCTTGGCCAGCAGGAGGCAGTGGAGTCCACATCACCGACGGCGCACTGACGGGGGTGGAGGGCTTTCTGTTGTGTGTGCGGGTTGACCAAGTTGGCACAGTCGGGGGGCACAGGTGGTGCATCAGCCAGTCGTCAGTCAGTCGACCCATGGCACCTGCTTGGTCTGCCCCGTGACCTCCTGCCGGCGCAAGCGCCGTGGTGACGGCACCGCCACTTAGTAGAGAATGGCGGTTGTTGTTGTTGTTGACAACGTCCGGTGACTGGACGACGTTTGTTTGAATGATCGTTTGGCTTTACCTCCGTCAAGGCGGAGTGTGTTGCTCTTGATGGTGAAAGAGACGCGCACACACACACGCAAGGCTTTGTTTGACTAATGCTGTAGGTCCTCGTTTAGCGCGCTAGCAGCAGCAGCAGCGGCAGCAGTTGTAGACGCGTCGCTGAAAAGTGTCGCGCGAAGTGATGAAACGCATTTGGGCGAAAACGAACGCCCCCGTCGTAAATAGCGTACCGACTTTTGGCGAGATGCGACGTCACTACCACGCACGACACGCCACGCCGCGCGATGGTGAAAGGGGCAAATTAACCGAGGGTTGCGCCGCCACCCGCGCACCGCTGTATCCTTCCTGCGTGACCGTATCGCACTGCTCAAGAAAGTAGTTCATCGTCGACGACCGCTCAGAAACCGCCGCTTATAACAACGGGTGCGAGCCGTTCCGCGTCGTAACGGTACGCGTCACGACGGGCATGTCCCACGTCACAACGGAGCGCGTGCGCCCCGCGGTATGACGGCGTGTCACTGCGTCGTTCGAAGAGTTGCTCCTCCAGTGGAAGAACGCCAGCCGTAGCGAAAACGCGTGGCACGGCGGAGTTTGCGCCGCCGGACTCCGCCACGCTGGACCGGCGTGGGCTGGTTACGGGGGTGGGGGGGGGGGGGGTGGCGATGTTCGCCGCTGATGTTCGCTGTGGCCGAGCGTTGAGCCTCGGGTGCCCAGGTTCAATGTCCGGCTGCCAGAATACCCAGAGAAAAATCACGCACAACAGGGGAGTTTGTACGTACGTTATGTATGTTGACCTTCTCTGGGGGTGGGGGGACGACAAGCTAAACGCAACAACAAGTGGAGTTTCGATTTAAAGCTTTCGTGACTGCAGGAATTCATATTCTTGGTTCGTTCGGTAAAGCTCGCATAGATGCTGATCTACGCGACTTTACCGAAAGAACCAAGAATAACAAGTGTAGTAGTTATTAAGAAATAAGTTTTGCTAATTCAAATTATTTAAAATTGCACAGCTCCCAGTGGCTCTCTCTTGTCGGAATGAAGAGCGTTCCAGACGGCCGCCGAAGCGCGTCTGATGGGGTGAATGTGGCGAAGTTCCTTTATTCGCGGAGTTTATTCATTCACGGAGTTTCTCGAGGGGAGAGGGGTTGGGGGGTCACGTCCTGAGCCCCCCCCCCCCACTCCGCGCCACCATCCCCCTGATTTTCGGCCGTCTACGCATCTCCCCTTATTCGTCACCTGGTGCCAAACGCCATCTCCACTCTCATCGTATCTACACGTGTGTATATATGGCGTCTATGCTTTGTGAGCAATCGTTTAAACAAAACTCAAACAAAACAAATGGTACGTCGCGCGATTGTCGTTGAGATAAAGAGTGCGGTTGTTATTTTAAAAGGTGCTGGCTGCGTAGGGAATGGTGACCCTTTGGAGAGGTTAAGGAGTGGATGGGGTAGTGATTAGGGGTAGTATTTGTGAACTTCTTTCGCACAGTACGTAGGCAACCGCGCTAATCGGAGGTGTGCGGCGGTAAGGACGGCAAACTAAACGCAACGACGAGAAGCAGTAAAGAATTGAGTTGATGGTGATGACGATGCTTTAAAAGCGCAGCATAATTCCAGTGGCTTCCTTGTATCGGAATGAAGAGCGGCGTTCCAGACGGCCAGCCGAAAGCCGTCGCCGCCGGTAGCGAGGATGACGACCGGGGAGTTGGCGTCACGACACACAGAAAAACCACCTTGTCGCAACCGACCGCCCTAAGGGGGGGGGGGGTTGCCCGGGGACCCCCCCCCCCCCCCGTCGTTTGCATCCACTCCGAAATCTCCCCCGCAGTGTCCCCCTCGACACTCGTTGACACCGTCCTTGTCCCATCTCCATCGAGCAACCCGCTACACCCCCCCTCCCCCCTTCGCAACAGCCATGAAAATCACCTCGCCCAGTCGCGTTAACCCCTTAGACGCCCTTCGTCCTCGGCTCGGTTCCTTCGCCTCCCTTGCCACTTGCAGTCCCTTGCGATGGATCCTCCGCCATCGCCCACCACGGTGGTGGTGGTGGTATGGGGTGTGTGGGCCTCCAAAGATCGCCTGGCTGGCCTGTGTCCACCGTCTCCTTGTTCTCGGTCGTCTGCCGAGTTAGTCGTCTAATTCAGCGGTCCCCAACCTTTTTGGCACCAGGGACCGGTTTCGTGGAAGGCAATTTTTTTCACGGACCGGGGGGGGGATGGGTTCATCATTGGGTCTTTCCCCTTTTCAAAGAAGCTCTCCAGCGACGTTTGTTTTTGTACTCATTTTGGCTAGGGCTAGAGCTTGTGGGCTTAGCAAAACCACGACTGAGACGAAGTACGCAGTGCGGGAAAGAGGCGCGGATGGAAGTGGTCAATAAAATAATGGGGGCGGGCCACGCGCGGACTCAACGCTCTCACCTGCTGTTGTGCGGCCCGGTTCCTGACAGGCCACGGATCGGTACGGGTCTGCGGCCCGGGGATTGGGGACCCCCACCACCCCCCCCCCTTCCTCTGCGTAATGACTCGCGGTTAGAACTCTCGGCACGAGCAGGCATCGGCATCACCGCGACGCGCAACCTCCTCTCGTACACCAAGGAGCCAGGCATGCGGTCGCTGCTTAGGCATTGTAAACTAAAAAAACTCAACCCTTTAAAAAAGAAAATTCCAGGTTAAGGCCCCAACTGAGCTGCTGTATGGCTATTTTTTTTTCTTCTTCAGAAGCTACCTGGACAAATGGTGTCTCAGCGAAGTGGCTCATCCGGCATCACTTGGACATTTATAGCTAAATACTCCAAAGCGCGTGGTGATGTTGATTCTAAACGTGGAGGGAGGAAAAAAAAACAACGGAGGACCCGGAAAAAAATCCACGCTACCACAACGGGTGGAGAGAGAGAGACAGACTCCAAATATACAGCCAACCCATGACCTCCTGTATACCAGGCGAGGCAGTTAACATCTAGCCACTGTGGCACCCCCGGCCGTCTGGAACGCTCTCGTTATCCCGCCGCCACGTTCAATCTACGTCAGCTTTCAAGAGGCGCTCCGTTCACCTGGCGTGCGAGTGACGCTGAGCGTTTGGCTATGCGCAGCGGGGCTACATTCACTCAGTCTTGATTTGAAGCTTTCGTGACTGCAGGAATCCATACTCGTTGGTTATTTCGGTAAAGTCACGTAGGTATAAAATAAATAAATTGCGACGTTTCGGGCACAGCACAAGCGTCCGTCATCAGGTGGGAAAGCATGATCTGCTGCTGAGGCCAACTGCTTTCCCTCCTGATGACGGACGCTTGTGTTATTTATACCTACGTGACTTTACCCAAAGAACCAAAGGGGGAGGATACATTCGCTCATGTTCGTGACATGTTGCCGCGTGTAAAATTGCGCGTTTTCGCTGCGGCAACAATAGCGGTCTGCATTATATGATTAGGATACACCTAAACCTGACGTTCCGTCGTCGCCTCGCGAGTTTCACAAATTTGTGCTCTGTGTGTGATCAAACCAAACCGTGTTTCCAGCGTGTGATGTCTTACACAAGGAGCGCGACACTACATTTGACTCCGCGACACTAAGGAGACGAAACTACATGCACGCACACGAATTCAAGCGAACACGACAGCCGTCATCCAATTCAAATGCTCTGCCATTGTAAAAAATATATATATAATGCACGATTCGAATCGCAACCCTTGCAGCCACTAATATATAGTCAACACAATTTGATTAATTCGTTTATTTTTATTCTAGATATGCCAATTAGGACTGTCTAATATGATGTCCGAGTCTCATTGTGTGATATACGCTTGTCATTGTGAGTGGTCTTGCTTTTATCTTACGGGATAAAAAAACAAAGAGCCACTTTTATCCAAACCGAACCGATATGTACACGGCGAGCGATTTTTTTTTCGTGTGTGTTTAGTTAAATTAACAAAACATCCTCCATTCGCGGGGCCCTCGATCTCAAACCCACGGGCACCGTGCCGAAAATCGACTTTCGTGCGCTCCCGTTTTTTTTTAAGACCGGCGGCCTGAGATAGGCTGGTCGCGTTTGACGACTTTGTGGGGCATCGTTCCCACTCTTGAACATCCCAAGGGCTCTGTCGGGGGGATGGAAGGACGGTGGTGGGTGGGGAGGGGGGGCATTGTTCATTAGTTAATTGGACGATACGATGCGCTGTTACTGCCTTGACCCTTTCACCCCATCGTGTACATACATCCGCGATCACACACTCATCCCACACGCCTAGCCCCGGTTAAAACGTTTCCAATGTGTGTGTATCACTTCCTATAAATTGCTTTTTTTCTCTCTCTCTCTCCCCATCCCCCCCCCCCCTCTTCCAAATTCCTAGATCGCAGCTCGGGACACGCGTTGTTATATTGACCTGTTTACTCTTGTTGTTTAGATGTTGCATAGGTTAGCGGCCGTGCTTTCCTGTATTTGTTGTCGTTACAAAATAAACGCATATGCATACAAAATGATGGAGGAGGAGTTGGGGTGGGGTGGCGTGCACAGGTGAGTACTCTCGAGCCAAATAAAGACAGCCGAGATGTTTGAGACCAATCGTGAGAATAAAAGTGGCAGGACCGAATTTTAAGCACCGAGTTGCTGGCGGGAGCTGGGATTCCCAGTGGAGAGAGGCATTCGTGACCTCCTCTCAGTTGAGATGGGTCAGGGAAATGGAGCTCGAATTGCCAGAACATCGCCTCTTCCTAAAATCCTTGTCCACGGTGAACTCAAAGGGGACTGAGCGTGTTCAAAAACTTGCGCTACAAAAATAAACACTCCTTAAAAGACACCCCCAAGACTACCGGTATCATATTCTTAGGTTTTTTTCGGTAAAGTCACGTAGGTAAAAAAAAATTAAATTAATAAAAAATAAAATAAAAAATAAAATAAAAATCACGACGTTTCGGAGGCAACACAAGCTTCCGTCTTCAGGTGGAACCGTCACAGCACGATAGCTGATACAGCTGATACAGCACGATAGCTGATACAGCTGATACAGCTATCGTGCTGTGACGGTTCCACCTGAAGACGGAAGCTTGTGTTGCCTCCGAAACTTCGTGATTTTTATTTTATTTTACTTTTATTAATTAAAATTTTTACCTACGTGACTTTACCGAAAAAAACCTAAGAATATGAATCCTTGCAGTCACGAAAGCTTCAAATCTAGAACTACCTGTATCATTACTGTGTGTGGGTCCCATCGTGGCGAGGAAATGTCGGAGCCAAAGCCGCAAGCAATGGAGAGAAAGCGGCTGTTGTAGCGGACTCGGGTCAAGAGGATTGAAGAGAAACACATTCCTGCGGAGGGAGCTGGTAGGAACGTTGGGTTGCTCGGTCAATGGCCTGCAGGGTCAACGGCGGCGTGGTGTATTCCGCAAATATGCCCGACTGTGAGGGCTGGACACAAGCCGGCGTGAGTAGGTTAAACGTTGAGTTTTATAAGGGCACCACGGGGTGACCAGCCCCTCCCCACCCAGCCCCACCCCTCCCATCCAGCCCCACCCAGCCCCTCCCTGCACGACGGACGGACGGACACAATACTCCTCTGTGGGCTGGTGTAACCAGGAGGTTCCTACCAGTATAAGGGATCTACATCATGGGACCTCCTTTGCCAGTACCAAAATATGAAAATAGGTTTTTCCCCTTTTATCTGGAAACAAAACAGGTGTGTTAAGTTGTTAAAACACCAAATGGAAACCTTTTACAAGGAATCATGTCTGCATTAACCACAATACTTGTGGTGAAAATGCCAAAAAAACATACTCTGATAACATGCATTGTCGAGATTTGAAGCTTTCGTGACTGCAGGAATCCATACTCTTTGGTTTTTTCGGTAAAGTCACGTAGGTATAAAATGAAATAAATCACGACGTTTCGATTGCAACACAAGCAATCCTCATCTAGAAGCTGCTGCAAAACCAAAAAACACTGTAGAAATGCCTTTGTTTGATGGCAGATTAACGCGACTTGATTATTCCCCAATGATATAATGTTCACACGTTTAGAAATCACATCACCTTACCCCCCCTGGGACATTGCCACGTGCCCCCCAGGGGTTCCGCGTACCACCCCCCAGTTGAGAACCGCTGGTGTAAAATAATAAATGATGGGACGAGGCAAGAGGAGGCCGCGGTATAATGCAGGGTGCTTCAAATTTTGTTTTTCAACACTTCTGAGAATTGGCAACAATAGCACAAGAAATCTGCTGCCTCTGGGCTCTGGAGAACACCTGGCGAAGATTCCAAGCAATGCGTTGACAACGACGGCGAACAAGTGGAGACTATAGTAATAGGTTTTAACCCTTTTATCTGGCACCAAAACTGACCCGAGATGGCTTTTCTTAGAGCCTAGTCTCCACTGGTGTTGGACCAGATGACGCCAAAAGGCGTACAACTCAAAAACAGCACACTATCAGAGTATTGAGAGCTCAAGTTAAGCATTTACAGAGACCTCCTTTACCAGTAGCAAAATGTAGTAATAGGTTTTTACCCTTTCATCTGGCACCAAAACTGACACCTTTATACAAGGGATCATGTTTGCAATAACCACAACACAAGCAGTCAAAATGCAAACAAAAATAGACAACTCTGATAATGATATGCACTGTCCTTGAAATTGATTGGTCCACACCCGAGACGGCTTTTTTTAGAGCCTCGTCTCCACTGGTGTTGGACCAGATGACGCCAAAAGGCGTCATCTCAACTCAAAAACAGCGCACTATCAGAGTATTGAGAGCTCGGGGTAAGCCATTTACATTATCAAAGTTGTCTCTTTTTGTTTGCATTCTGACTGCTTGTGTTGTGGTTATTGCAAACATGATCCCTTGTATAAAGGTGTCAGTTTTGGTGCCAGATAAAAGGGTTAAAACCTATTACTGTATCTTGCTATTGGCAAAGGACGTCTCATGGTGTAAACAAGTGGAGACTCTTTGACTTTTTGAATCTATTAACATTACATTTGTTATCATGTTTCAGTGTTATTAGGGGCCGTCCATAAATGACGTCACGCACCTGGGGGGGGGGGGTCAGACATTTGTGACGATGTGTGACGAGGGTGGGGGGTTTGAGAAATGTGACGTCACATCAAAATGCGCAACTTTAAATCAATACAGACAACACGTTCTACTTAAATATCTTTTGTAATAAATGTTTACTCCTACAACATACGCACTACAATGACAATAGTTTAAAGCGATTTGAAGCATGTTTAATATTTTTTGGGGGGGGCGGGGCAGAGCTTTGTGTCCAAAATCGCGTGACGTCATTTATGGACGGCCCCTTATCCGTTCTTTTTGCATGAAAAACTAAACTGTAGTCCCATGTAAGTGGTAACATTTATTTGAAGCACCCCTGTATCGCAGCCGAGGTGCGTGACGGTGCAAAGAGGCAAGTCACAGTCTTGGTTTTGACCTTCACCTGACCCCATTCAGAAACAGAACTTTTATTAGTGCCAGAGAAAATCCGATGAACCGAAATGCTATTTTTTACATTCTAGATTTGAAGCTTTCGTGACTGCAAGGATTCATACTCTAATTTTTTTTCGGTAAAGTCACGTAGGTAAAAAAAAAAATTAATAAGAAATTCTAATAAAATCCTGCATAATGCACGGACATAAGTAGTACTAATCACATACCTGCATTTCCCATATCCCCTCCCTTTGATGCTGCTAATCCTGCATAATGCACGGGCATAAGTAGTACTAATCACATACCTGCATTTCCCATAAATATGCTAAATTCCTCTTGATATGCAAATTATTTTGTCAAGGCGCCCTTTCCCCCCCCCCCCTTCCAACCCAGCTTATATATGTATGCTCCAAGCGCGTGTGCTGTTTCATTCAGACGCTGTCGCCTCGACAGACCTGGTTTCACCTGAGGACGGCTGCTTGCGTTGTGGCCGAAACGTCGTGAGAATTATTTTATTATGTTTTATTTTTATTATTTTATTACTTCCCTTCTACGTGATGACTTTACCGAAAGAACCAAGAAGATGAATCCCTGCAGTCACGAAAGCTTTAAATCGAAATTTAAAACAGGACCCTGCGGGGTGGGCTGGTAGGAATAATACTTAGTACCGGTACAGAGATATCGACCAGGTATAGAGGAGTTAAAGAAAAAATTACTATATTCTAGTGTAACGTTAATTAAAAGTGTTTGTTTTGACAAGAAACGCTGTGAGATTTAAAGACTCGTAGTCTTTCATTTCCAACACCACCCTCAACACCACCCCTCCCACGGACGGACGGACGGACGGACACATTAATCTATTGGTGGTCTGGTCCACTTCGTTCCTACCAGTATAAGATTGAACCTGCACAACGAACTTCGTTAACTACGCCCAACGCAATGCGGGGGTCACGTGGCGCGGCCACGTGCCACGGTCACGTGGCGTTGCGCGTCACAGGCATCACAATGGGGAAGTGACGGCGGTGCTTTCGCTTTGATTGGGAAGCGTCGAAATTCGCTCACGGGGGTCTCCAAAAAGTCGAAGTGCGGCCAGCCAAACGTCCCCGTTTGGTGTGCAGCGAGAAAACCCGTCGCTGATTTTGCGTTGTAAGTTTTATTCTGTTTTTGTTTCATGCATACTATATGCGTTCACTACTGTGTACAGATTAATATCTTCATTTGAAGTGTTTCGTGACTGCTGGAATCCATACTCTTTTGTTCTTGTTCTTTCGGTAAAAAATTAAAAAAAATATTTAATATATTTTATTTTATACCTACGTGACCTTACCGAAAGAACCAAAGAGTACAGATTAATGTATCAAATATGTGGACCGTATATGAATACATGTTTAAACTGTGCGAGTGATAGTACACTCATCTCGAGAATTTCTGCAACGATTGTGCATATGTTTTTGTCGGAGCAATGTATTCAGGTTGGTGTCATCACTTTAATCATAATTATATGATTATAATGACATTATTAAGTAATAAGAGATCATTGTTAATACAGTTTTTCCACTGATACACCAACAATTGCCTTATTCTTAGGTTTTTTCGGTAAAGTCACGTAGGTAAATTTTTTTATAAAAGTAAAATAAAAATAAAATAAAAATCACGACGTTTTGGAGGCAACACAAGCTTCCGTCTTCAGGTGGAACCGTCACAGCACGATAGCTGTATCATGATACAGCTGTATCATCATACAGCTGTATCATCATACAGCTGTATCATCATACAGCTGTATCATACAGCTATCGTGCTGTGACGGTTCCACCTGAAGACGGATTCTTGTGTTGCCTCCGAAACGTCGTGATTTTTATTTTATTTTAATTTTACTTTTATTAATTTAAATTTTTTTACCTACGTGACTTTACCGAAAAAAACCTAAGAATATGAATCCTTGCAGTCACGAAAGCTTCAAATCTAGAAACAATTGCCTTAGTAATGTTACCGCTTGGAATGCATTATGTATTGAGGACGCTGCATCAGCTGACTTACGTGTAAGCAACGATACCATTACTACTCGGGGAAAAATAGTCTTAAGTGAAAAAGAAAAACTTCTATTATGGATGATATTGGTCGCGTTAAACAGACTAGCGACAAAAAATCAAGCGACTGTTTGAGGTTCATTGTCGTTGTTTGGGTGTGTGGTAATCAGTCGCGCCAGTGTCTCTTCCCCTCTCCAGCATGGTAGCGACGTCAAAGATCACCCCCCCAACACCCACCCCGTATAGCCTGCTTGGGGTAATTGTTGTTAGTAGCGAGCAGCGGCACCTGACGGAGGAGGCCGGCACTGTGGTGGGTGGGTGGATGGGTGGGTGGGTGGATGGGTGGGTGGATGGGTGGGTGGGTGGATGGGTGGATGGGTGGATGGGTGGATGGGTGGATGCGTGGGTGGATGCGTGGTGGATGGGTGGATGCGTGGGTGGATGGGTAGGTGGGTGGATGGGTGGGTGGGTGGATGGGTGGGTGGATGGGTGGGTGGGTGGATGGATGGGTGGGTGGATGCGTGGATGCGTGGGTGGATGCGTGGTGGATGGGTGGATGCGTGGGTGGATGGGTAGGTGGGTGGATGGGTGGGTGGGTGGATGGGTGGATGGGTGGGTGGGTGGATGGGTGGATGGATGGGTGGATGGGTGGATGGGTGGGTGGGTGGATGGGTGGATGGTGGGTGGTGGATGGGTGGGTGGGTGGATGGGTGGGTGGGTGGATGGGTGGATGGGTGGGTGGATGGGTGGTGGTGGATGGGGGTGGGTGATGGGTGGATGGGTGGGTGGGTGGATGGATGGATGGGTGGGTGGATGGGTGGATGCGTGGATGCGTGGGTGGATGCGTGGTGGATGGGTGGGTGGGTGGGTGGATGGGTGGGTGGGTGGGTGGATGGATGGGTGGGTGGATGGGTGGGTGGGTGGATGGGTGGGTGGGTGGGTGGATGGGTGGGTGGCCAGCACCACGGCACACCCGGTTCGCCTTTGTCCTCCCTAAGTGTCGATGTTTTTTTGTTTTAACAGGGCACTCATTTGAGGCCGAGTCGACCTAGGGGAGGCCCCGTGAAACGGTTAAACCGGTGAGCGGGAATCGACCAATGTTCACCGGGGATCGCAGTGCCGCGCGCTAACCGCTGCGCCACCGCTCCCCAATAACAACAACCGCCATTCACCACTAAGTGGCGGTGACGTCACCACGGCGCCTGTGCCAGGCTATGTGCACTTTAAGGCCACGTTAAGTGTCGAACGTCCGCTGGCAGGTAGTCACGGGACAGACCCAGCTGGTGCCATGGGTTGACTGCTGTGCCAGGCTAGGTGCAGGAGGAGGTCATGGGACAGACCCAGCAGGTGCTATGGGTTGACTGCTGTGCCAGGCTAGGTGCAGGAGGAGGTCATGGGACAGACCCAGCCGGTGCTATGGGTTGTCTGCTGTGCCAAACTAGGTGCAGGAGGAGGTCATGGGACAGACCCAGCTGGTGCCATGGGTTGACTGCTGTGCCAGGCTAGGTGCAGGAGGAGGTTACAAGACAGACCCAGATAGTTCCATAGGTTGACAGTGACTGAGATATGCGACTTGCCGATGCACCACCTGTGCCCACCCCCCTACTGTGCCAGTCTAGGTGCAGGAGGTCACGGGACAAGACCCAGCTGGTGCCATGGGGTTTACTGACTGAGATGACTGACCCGTTGCATCATCCGTGCCTGCCTGCGCCTGCTGTGCCAACCACGCTGCTGCGGCTTTTCGTTTTTTTGTTGTTACCGCCCTGGGCGCACAGATGGCCGTGTCGGCGCCCGACACAGACAACCTTCTGAACTGCTCAATCTGCCTGGATGAATTCAAGGTGCCCGTGTCTCTGCCCTGCGGCCACACGTTCTGCAAGGGGTGCATCGAGAATCACTGGTTCAAAGCCCCGCAGGGGAAGGCCACCCCCCACTTCATGTGCCCGCAGTGTCGAGAAGCCTATCCCGTGGTGCCGCCGCTCAACAAGAACGTGGTGATGGACGATGTCGTCAGGGACAGGAGGGAGAGGCGGGAGAGGCGGCAGAGTGGCGATCGCAGATGGAGTGTGGTGAGTTCAGGACGATGAAGAAGGTCCCTCGACCCTGCCCCCGTGCTTGGCCGCTAACAGGCTTCGTAGCGAGTAGCAGCACCTATGAAAGTGGGGTGTGGGTGGCCAGCACCACGCCTGGCCGCATTTGTATCCCCAGTGGTGATGTTTACTACACGCTGCACCGGGCACTCATTTGAGGCTGAGTCGACCTAAGGGACGCCCAGGACCAGTTCAGATAATTGCTGTCACTGGTAGGGGCCGTGAGCGGGAATGGAACCCTGGCCTCTGCCGGGTTCGTAGCGCAGTGCGTTAATCGCTTCCCCACACAGATACACACACGCATGCACACACGGGGTGTTGTTATCGTTGACTGTGCTTGTGCACCACTGCCAACGCAGCAGCAGCAGCAGCATCATCACCAGCTCACGAACTACTATTTTTTATTTTACCAGCTAAAGGCCCACTGAGCTATGCAGCTCTTATTCAGAAGCGACCTGTCTGTTCCAAATGATAGCTCGACGAAGTGGCTCATCGTCATCATCGTGTGTACATTAATAAGAGCAGTCAAATATTCTAAACGCATGATGTTGATTCTAAACGTGGAGGGAAATCCACTCGACCACGGGGAGAGAGAACGATAGATGCAAACTCCAAACATACAGTAGGCATCATGGTCGGGATCAAACCCACAACTTCCTGTATGCCAGGCGAGGTAGTTAACATCTCCTAGCCACTGTGGCGCCCCTACTCAACACGTCCACTGCTGTCGATGATGCGCTCCACCACGATATCCTCGTCGCGACCGCCTTCGCACCGGACTTGGGAGTCGGCGGATCCGTACTGTCGTGCGATAATTCATCCATCCGGCAGCGGACCACAAGAAGTCAGCGAGTCAACGCGGTCATGGGTCCAAACTCTACACGGCCCATCGCTCGAAAACCACGACCTCCTTGTACACACCAGTCGAGGGGGGCGATAACATCTCCTTAGCCACCGCCGTGCCGTGCTAAAACGTGGCGGCGTGCGTTTCGTACCATTGTTCAGGAGCTGCTGAGCGCGTTCAAGCAAACGCTGACGGACAGGGAGCGGGTGACCACCGCCCTCACTAGCAGCCTCCTGGACAAGTTGGACGCCGCAGAGGTAAGGGGGGCTTGGCTACTCGCCACCGTGGACCTCAAGCCACATTGCTCGTCCACCTTCACAACAGGCTCGACGATTCCAAACCCCCCCCTCCCCGCAATCATAGGTGTGTGTGTGTGTATCCAGTTGGGTGTTTGAACATCTTAACGCCCCCCCCCAATCCCCCCCTCCCCTCCCCCTGTACACCCTGCTCTTCTTTCTAGATTTGAAGCTTTCGTGACTGCAAGGATTCATACTCTTAGGTTTTTTCGGTAAAGTCACGTAGGTAAAAAATTTAAATTAATAAAAGTAAACTAAAACAAATTAAAAAATTCACGACGTTTCGGAAGCAACACAAGCCTCCGTCTTCAGGTGGAACCGTCACAGCCACGACAGCTGTATCAAGTGAATGAGAGATCACAAGAAATACCACCCCGTATATATAATGGTTGAGGGGGGAAGGGCCAGGAACGGCACACTTTTTTATTAATATGGTAAGGTGAGGCTTAAGACCAAGAGTAGACTGCATAAGGTGAGGCTTAAGACCTATATGCTCTTCTTGTAGATGAGGTGATCGTGGTTGGCACGGCAAAGAGTGGTGGGTGGGGTTACGAAACGGGACATTTTTGCCAGTATCAAAGTGTGAAAAAACAAGACTAGAATTTGGTGTTTGAACATCTTAACACCTATTTTATTGCCAGAAAGAGTCAAACCGATTCTTGTTTTTTCAGTGGTCGGGTTGTCGTTCCGGTTTGCCGAACGAATTCAGCGTTACGAGGTCGCGCTCACTACACACGCAAAGTGCTTGCCGCAAATAAAACCACGATGCCTTGCCGATGTCCTCATCGAGGAGCTTAGACCGTCACGTGTACGCCGGTCATCCTCGCAGCATTATAGCCAACAAGGTGGCAATGTAGCAGAGCATCGAGAAGGCTCGATTTATTGAATAAGTATAACCCGTAAAAACAAAGTTTTTCACTATAAATCCTTTATATGCGTGGCAACGAACTTAATATAAAGGATTTAAAAATATATTCGCCTGTGGAGGACGCGGGGATCGATCCCGCGACCTTTGGCATGGGAAGCGAGGGCGCTACCAACTGCGCTACTCCGCCACGGCCTGTGGAGGGGTTACACTCTGGGCTCTTATACTGTGACGTTCAACCAAAGCCAAGAATGAGTTCTATTTGAATATATGTAAAATAATTTTTTTTTGCCTAAAAAAGTGTAAAATTTTGGGAATTTTTTTTCACGAAAATTAATTGTCTCGCACAACGAGTCTGTGTGGAAAATATCAGCTCGATTGGATCACGGGAAGTGGGATAAAAAACGACCGAAAGATTTGCACGGTCGTAAGCAAGCAAGCACGCAAGCAAGTATGCGAACTTAATATAAAGGATTTAAAAATCGCTAAATCTACGGGACTTCTGGCAAAAACATTAGCAAGCTGCAGTGTGTACAAAATGCGCCGACACGTGTCGTGACGGGCACTGCAAGGTCCGACCGTGTCCGTCCGGTGCTCGCCAAAGCTGCATTAGCTTCCGGTTGCCGAACGAATACATAATGAGGTCACACTCATTGCACGCAAAGTGCTTGCCACAAATGAACCGCGATACCTTGTTGCTGATCTTGTCAAGGAGCATAAACCATCTTCACCTGGACTCTGGTCATCCTCGCAGCAGCGGCTTTTGGCTAACGATCGAACAATGACGGTCGCCGCATCGCAAGCTTTCAGATTCTGCTTCTGTGGGCGTCTGGAACGCTCTTCCTTCCGATGTTAGTGTAATAAACCTTCTCGAGACGGCTTCCGGAATCAGTCCTTTTATTTTCCAACTTCCACAGTTACACTTCACACACTCCCCGTTGCTGACAGACAACGGAACGGGCAGACTCCCAGCCAAGTCCCCACCGCACACGTGGCACCCAGAGCCCCGTACGCGCGTGACTCCTGCTCTTTTCGTTCCCAGATCTGCTCTCGACTCCTCTGTCTCTCCCCCTCTTAATCCCTGGGTCACGTGGTACCCCTAAGCCAATCCTCCGTAGTCAGCGTTGACCGTTCCAGATGGTTCCCCGTCAATCCCGGGACCACGCCTCTGATCCGGCTTCCCATTAGCTGAGGCCCCGATCAGCCAGGCCAATCACCCCTGCTAACATGCCGTGATCACGCCGAGGCCATGCTCCCTGGCTCACCCCTTATTGGCTACAAAGCGGGACCGGCAAGCCAATCCCCACGTGAGCCCTACATGGCTCTTATTACATTAGGAAGCGACTGGAGCTATGCACGTTTAAATAATCTAGATTGAAAACTCATTCCTTGAGAACGGCTTTTTGTATTTAGTTGTCCTTCCCCTGCACCACCGATTAGCACGGTTGGCTGCGAGTAGTGCACACAGTACACATACAGTACACACGCAATATTGTATTTCTCTGCGTGTATTTCTGTGTGCCTATCCCTATGTGTATGTATCTCTGTGTAAGTGTCTCTGCTGGCCCAATAGGGGGCACAGCTGGTGCATCTGCCAGTCATCTCAGTCAGTCAACCCATGGCACCTGCCGGGTCTATCCCGTGACCTGTCAGCGGCGAGCCTTCGACACTTCACGTGGCCTCGAAGTGCACCTAGCCTGGCACAGGTGCCATGGTGACATCACCGCCACTTATTGGCGAATGGCGGCTGCTGTTGTTTCCCTGTATCGGAATCGGAATCTGTATTTGTCCTGGAGGGATCCGATGAGCTAAGAAGCATTTTTTCACAGATGTCCAGTAGGTGACGGGTGAGACGGGTGCCAACCAACTAGTGCACCACAGTACACATCTGTGTGTCGTGCACACAGTACAATACACTGTTGTTGTCTCATGTCCGGCCGCATGTCGAGTGAATGTTTGGTAGAAGTCGGTTGAGCCGCATGCACAGCGCGAAATCGCACAAACCCAACCCGCACAGAGCCGTAGGGAAACCTGTGCCAGGCTAATTCAGTTGTGGAGAGTGTGTGGAGTGGAGTAGAGTGAGATGAGAGGCAGGAGAGTGCGTGGAGGGGAGAGTAGATTGAGATCAAAGGTAGGAGAGTGTGTGGAGTGGAGTAGAGTGAGATGAGAGGTAGGAGAGTGTGTGGAGTGGAGTAGAGTGAGATGAGAGGTAGGAAAGTGCGTGGAGGGGAGTAGAGTGAGATGAGAGGTAGGAGAGTGCGTGGAGGGGAGTGGAGTGAGATCAGAGGTAGGAGAGTGCGTGGAGGGGAGTGGAGTGAGATGAGAGGTAGGAGAGTGCGTGGAGGGGAGTGGAGTGAGATGAGAGGTAGGAAAGTGCGTGGAGGGGAGTAGAGTGAGATGAGAGGTAGGAGAGTGCGTGGAGGGGAGTGGAGTGAGATCAGAGGTAGGAGAGTGCGTGGAGGGGAGTGGAGTGAGATGAGAGGTAGGAGAGTGTGTGGAGGGGAGAGTAGATTAAGATCAGAGGTAGGAGAGTGCGTGGAGTGGAGTGGAGTGAGATGAGAGGGGGAGAGGCAGGAGAATGCGTGCAGGGGAGAGTAGATTGAGATCAGAGGTAGGAGAGTGCGTGGAGGGGAGTGGAGTGAGATGAGAGGTAGGAGAGTGCGTGGAGGGGAGTGGAGTGAGATGAGAGGTAGGAGAGTGCGTGGAGGGGAGTGGAGTGAGATGAGAGGTAGGAGAGTGCGTGGAGGGGAGTGGAGTGAGATGAGAGGTAGGAGAGTGCGTGGAGGGGAGTGGAGTGAGATGAGAGGGGGAGAGGCAGGAGAATGCGTGGAGGGGAGAGTAGATTAAGATCATAGGTAGGAGAGTGCGTGGAGTGGAGTGAGATGAGAGGGGGAGAGGCAGGAGAATGCGTGGAGGGGAGTGGAGTGAGATGAGAGGTGGGAGAGTGCGTGGAGGGGAGTGGAGTGAAATGAGAGGAGGAGAGGTAGGAGAGTGCGTGGAGGGGAGTGGAGTGAAATGAGAGGTAGGAGAGTGTGTGGAGGGGAGTGGAGTGAAATGAGAGGAGGAGAGGTAGGAGAGTGCGTGGAGGGGAGTGGAGTGAGATGAGAGGTAGGAGAGTGCGTGGAGGGGAGTAGAGTGAGATGAGAGGAGGAGAGGCAGGAGAATGCGTGGAGGGGAGAGTAGTTTGAAATCAGAGGTAGGAGAGTGCGTGGAGGGGAGAGTAGATTGAGATCAGAGGTAGGAGTGCGTGGAGTGGAGTGGAGTGAGATGAGAGGCAGGAGAGTGTGTGGAGGGGAGTAGAGTGAGATGAGAGGGGAGAGAGGTAGGAGAGTGCATGGAGGGGAGTAGAGTGAGATGAGAGGGGAGAGATGTAGGAGAGTGCTTGGAGGGGAATAGAGTGAGATGAGAGGTACGCAGGAACTAGTCCATCGAGGATCGAAAAATCGTGTAGACTGTGAGCACAATATTGACATTGGTCCAGCCATTGAATCGGGAGCCCGCAGTGGAGGGTTTGCGATGGAGGCACCTAGGAGATGGGTTGCAACTTGGGGTCTTGTACTAGACTGACGGAGCCCCGTTACCCGTTGCCATCCCGTAGAAAGCGGCAGGGTGCTTCAAGCGGAGGCTGAGCTCCAGCTACGACGACCTCCTGCGCCTCGTCGCCGAGGACCACGAGTCGGCGCTGAGGGCCGTGGACGCAGAGCGCGACGCCAAACTCTCGGCGATTCGGCGCGAGCACGGGAGGTGCGCCGAGGTGCTGGGCGGCCTCCGGGAGATGCTGGGCAGGATCGGCGACCTGGAGGCGACCCGGGACGACGCGGAGTTCCTCCAGGTGTGATTGGCGGCGGCACGGAGCGACTCCGCGCAGGGATGCGTCGTGGGGGGGGGGGGGTCGCGCTCGCTAGGCACGTGCGCGCGAAGGGGCTTGGCACAAATCGGGGGCGGCCGACCCGTCACAGGCCGAGAGCCGTAAAAGTGACCGTGAGTTCCGCAAAGTGCCAAGTGTGTCTCTACACGCGCTCCTTGCCGTAGAGATCCGCGGTCAGTGGATACTTTTGGATTATCTGCAATTTTTAATTATCTGCGGCCGTCCGCTCCGTCGTTAGCACAGATAATCGAGAATCCGACTGTGTTGACAGTTTTTAGCACAGCATGGGCGGGAGACATGAATTATTCTTTGCATGCATTAATGTTAATGGAAGTCAGTTTGAACATTTTGCTGAAATAAATTACATAACCACGTGTGATTTAGTGATAGGTTTTCACCCTTTTACCTGGCAACAAAACTGACACCTTTATACAAGGGATCATGTTTGCATAGACCACAACAATTGCGGTCAAAATGCAAACAAAAAGACAACTCTGATCATGTATGCACTGTCCTTGAAATTGATTGGTCCACACCCGAGACAGCTTTTCTTTAGAGCCTAGTCTCACCATGGTGTTGGACCAGATGACGCCAAAAGGCGCACAACTCAAAGACAATGCACCATCAGAGTATTGAGAGCTCGGGGTGAGCATTTACATTATGAGATCTCCTTTGCCACACGTGTGATTTGTTAAAATAAATACAATAAACCTCCATAATGCAGGTTTTTTTTGGGGTTAAATCGCGTAAGTATGTAAATGTGTAGTTTCTCAAAGAAACCTGTATTATGGATGATATTGGTTGCAAAAGCCTACGTGTTATACAATAAACCTGTGTGCCGACTTTCGAGTCACCCTGTATAACGGGGGGAAAAAAATTAACACTACAACTTGTCCATGAACTGAATCTGACTTTGTATCTTTGTGCGTGCATTTGTGCATCTGTGTGTATCAGGGCCTCAACGACAATTGGCAGAGGTGAGTTTGAACGTGTTAAATACAATACAGTTCTTTTATATACGTTCTGACCGCTGGTGCCCCGACTGGACATCAGATTCCTCCTCCGGTCTAAATAAACGTTCACGATTCTGATTATCTCGCAGGCTGCCCGTTTGACACACGGAGAGATGCAGCGATCGCTCTCTCCCGAGGTTCACAGATAGATCGGTTTAGCACGCAGTCACGCGATCTAACCCAACAACGGCTAGAATAAACCAAATCTCCTGATTTGAAGCTTTCGTGACTGCAGGAATTACTCTTTGGTTCTTTCGGTAAAGTCACGTAGAAAGAAAATATATTCAATAATAGAATACGACGTTTTGATTGCAACACAAGCAGTCATCATCAGGATAGAACTACATTTCAGAGAGACGAAACACAGACACAGAGACACACAGACAGACACACAAGTAGAGAGAGACATACATCATAGACACGCGACTTTAGGGAAAGAACCAAAGCGTATCCAAATCTCCTTGATGTCACGAATAGATTCTTCGTCACGTTACGCGACGCTGTCGATCGGACCGCACTCAGCGCGCGGGCCGGAAGTCGGAGCGAAGGAGGCGCCGCAATGCGACCGTAACGACGACAACGTCGTCATTATTCTTCGCAGGTTCATGAATTCGCTCAACGAGCACCTGGAACAACCTCCGAGCGTGCCGGTCGAGTTCGCGACCGCGGACCAACTCCAGCAGCGGATGGACGAGCTCCTGAGCCTCTTCACAGCTTCCAGGCGAGCCGCGCCTTCCCTGCCCGAGACGCCCCGGGCTGTAGAAGCGGCGGAGGGGATGCCAGGAGGGGGGGGAGCAGCGCCCCTTCCATCCCCAGCCACGCTCCCAGCTCCGTCCCCTGCTCTGACCCCAGCTCTGCTCGCAGCTCCAATCCCTTCTCCATCCTCAGCTCCAATCCCTTCTCCATCCTCAGCTCCACTCCGATCTCAGTCTTCAGCTCCATTCCCTTCTCTATCCTCAGCTCCACTCCCATCTCAGTCCTCAGCTCCACTCCCTTCTCCGTCCTCAGCTCCACTCCCATCTCCGTCCTCAGCTCCAATCCCTTCTCCATCCTCAGCTCCAATCCCTTCTCCGTCCTCAGCTCCAATCCCTTCTCCGTCCTCAGCTCCAATTCCTTCTCTGTCCTCAGCTCCACTCCCAGCTCCACTCTCAGCTCCACTCCCATCTTCGTCCTCAGCTCCACTCCCATCTTCGTCCTCAGCTCCACTCCCATCTCAGTCCTCAGCTCCACTCCCATCTCAGTCCTCAGCTCCACTCCCATCTCAGTCCTCAGCTCCGCTCCCATCTCAGTCCTCAGCTCCACTCCCTTCTCAGTCCTCAGCTCCACTCCCATCTCAGTCCTCAGCTCCACTCCCTTCTCAGTCCTCAGCTCCACTCCCATCTCCGTCCTCAGCTCCGCTCCCATCTCCATCCTCAGCTCCAATCCCATCTCAGTCCTCAGCTCCACTCCCATCTCCATCCTCAGCTCCAATCCCATCTCAGTCTTCAGCTCCACTCCCATCTCCGTCCTCAGCTCCACTCCCATCTTCGTCCCCAGCTCCGACCCCAGCTCCCTCTCCAGCCATGCTCTTGGCAATGCAGGAGCCAGAACCGGCGCCACCTCGATCCACTACCGCGGCGCCTGGACACTCCGCATGGAGCGACGTCTCGCTGGTTCGCCCCAACAGGGCCGAATTGATACGGAGATGTAAGTCGTGCGTTACACCAGGAGTGAGGAACCTCCCCCCTCCCTACCCCCTCCCTCGTTCCTGCTCTCTCTTTTCTCCTTTCTTCTTCCTCTCCCCTCCCTCCTACCTCCTCCTTCCTGTTCCCTCCCTCCCTACCCCCTCCCTCCTGCTCTCTCCTCCCTCCTTTCTCCATCCTTCCTGCAACCCTCCCTCTCATCCCTCCCCCACCCCCCAATCCACCCTCTCTCCTCCCTGCTGCCTCCTCCCCTCTATGCTCCCTTCTCCTCCCAATCATCTTCCACCTCCCCCCTTCCTCCTCCCTCCTACTCCCTCCCTGCACTGCCCCACTCCTCCCTCTCCTTCCTCCGGCTCCTCGGTGTTCTGTTGTCCGGCCACCACGTTTGGCTCTCCCGGAGGCTTGTTGTTGTATGTGTAATGTGAGGTTACACCTTGGCGATAGTGATAGGCTCTGCCGGCCTCAGCCCGCAGCCAATGGGGAGTCGAGCCAGGGGCGTGGCCCTGGAGCTGGACAGTATCTTCGAGAAAGTTCCAGGGGTGTGGCTGAGGATCGGCTACGTGGTATCACGTGGGCCAGGGATTATAAGGGGTGGAGTAAGACAGCACGCGGTCAGTGTGCGGAGGAACGAAGGGGGAAGCCACGTGGCTGGTGCCGTGGTCCCGCTCCAGCCACGCGGCGGTCTCTCTCACGCGGTCAGCCAGCAGCGTGAGGGAGCGGAGAGGGAGGCGAGGGAACCGAGTGTGTGACCGGGAGAAACGAATAAACAACTGAAGTCAAGACGTTGTCTGAACGGGATTTATTACCTATGTATGTTTGTTGAACTTCTTTCGCACCGTACGTATCAAACCTTGCTCATTGGAGGTGCGGGGGGGGGACAAACTAAATACAACAACAAGCAGTTCTAAAGATTCTATTTAATTTATACCTGATGATGATTGCTTGTGTTGCAATCGAAACGTCGTATGCTAGTATTTAATTTAATTTATTATTGTATCTTTATACGTGACTTTACCGAAAGAACCAAAGAACAGTTCTAAAGAAATTAGTTTTCAATTTAGAATAGTGGTGTCGTGTATCGTAGCGTAGTATATAGTAGTGTATAGTCTAGTGCAGGGGTCGGGCACCTTTTTGACTGGGAGAGCCATAAAAGCCAAATATTTCTAAATGTATTTCATTGAGAGCCATATAGTATTTTTAACGTATAATAAATTAAATATGTCTTACTTTTAATGCGACTTCTGGTCACGGGATCCGTGACCCGAGAAATTTTATCTTCAAAACTAATTTCTGTTCACTTTAAAATGACACAGTATTATTAAGCAATATCACAAGTATTTTAAAATCAGTTTCAAACTGATTTTATTTTTATTTTTTTATTATTATTTTTTTCAACTCAAAATTGTCTGGGAGCCATATGCCGTCACCAGAAGAGCCATATATGGCTCGCGGGCCATAGGTTCCCGACCGCTGGTCTAGTGTATAGTGTAGTATGTAGTGTATAGTGTAGTGCAGTATGTAGTGTATAGTGTAGTGTGTATTGTAGTGTATAGTCGTATGTATGTTTAACTTCTTTCGCACCGCACCGTACGTAGCAAACCGAGCTCATCGGACGTGCGGGGAAAAGATAACAACTTTAAAACAACAAGAAGCAGTTCTAAAGAAATTAGTTTGTCGTTTATATTTTTATTGGTCCTCTGTTTTTCCTCTCTCTATCGTTTTTCTAATTCTCTCCCCCGCTCCAACCTCTTCCTACCCTAACGTAGTGTTTATTTCTTCATCGACTTTGTACAGTTGCTCGAAATGTGATTGCATTGAAATGATAGCTATATGCGTGTATATATGTAGAACTTGTCTTTGGACGGTGGTTAGGAGATGTTAACTACCTCGCCTAGTATGCCGGTCGTGTATTCGATCCCAACAATGACGCCTGCTGTATATTTGGAGTTTGATGGTTCTCTCTCTCCCTCTGCTCACGTGGATTTTTCTCCGGGTCCTCCGGTTTTCCCTCCACGTTTACAAAACATGCGTTTGGCATATTTGGCCGCTATAAATTTCACGTGATCAACCGCTTCGTTGAGCTTATCATTTGTGATGGCAAAGTCGCTTCTGAAAAAAGAGCTACAAAGCTCAGTGGGGCCTTACCTGGTTAAAGAAAAAAGTTTTGTAGTTGTTTCATATGTATCGTTGTGTTCTAGATGGCCGTTCTCCGTGTCTGAACCCGGACTCGGCTCACCGCTGGCTTTGGGTGTCCGAGAACCGCAGGATGGTGAAGATGGATCTAAACCAGAAGCAGCCCGACCAGCCGGACCGGTTCGAATCTCATCAGCAGGTCCTGGGCTCTGACGGCTTCTCGTCCGGACGCCATTACTGGGAGGTGGATGTGGGCAAAGCCAAGTGGTGGCGCGTGGGTGCCGCGTACGAGACGATCCCGCGGAAAGGCGAAGATAATGGGTATAGGCTGGGGGAGAACTCCGTGTCCTGGTGCTTGCATAAGCAGAGCAGCCTGACGGCGCGACACGCGGGTGTGGAGGATCCGGTGAGGACGATGGCGACGACTCAGAGAATCGGCCTCTACCTGGACTGTGAGGCAGGGCTTCTGTCGTTTTACGGCGACACTGGCGGCGACGTCGTCGAGTTGCTGCACTCGTTCGAGCACAAATTCCAGCAGCCTCTCCTGCCCGCGTTCGAGCTGGGCGGACAGTTCAAGGGTAACTTTCTGTCGATAGCAAAGCTCGACTGATGCGCCGCTTGCGGTCAAGTCGAATTCACAAATGTGTTCGTCGTCAAGTTACGCGGGGCTGACGATCAGAACGCACTCGGCGCGTGGGCGGGAAGTCAGAGCGAACGAGGGGGGCAATGGGACCTTTTTTGGTGCAAAGCTGCCAATCAAAGCGCCATCAATCACATTCATGTTCATAAACGTAGAACATTCTTTACGATCTAAAGTATATAAAACATATATATACACTGCAGTCAACTCATGCGAAGCCTAGCTCTGCAACGCCACCCAAACAAACCAACGCCGAGTCTGGAGGATGGGTCGTGGCCTAAACGGAAAGAGATGCGGCCTAACGAGAAAGGGGGCAGCGCCTAAAGAGGAAAGGTTGTCTTAAAGAGGAAGTGGCATGCCGTACAGAGGTTGAATGTCCCTGTTGACTTAAGGTTCTATTCTATTCCCTGTGGCAATACGCAGAGGTATGGACTCGAGTCATGTGACTTGGACTCGAGTCAGACTCGAGTCATGAATTTGATGACTTCAGACTCGACTTGGACTTGCATAACAATGACTTTGTCCCACCTCTGAGGTGTGGACTCGAGTCATGTGACTTGGACTCGAGTCAGACTCGAGTCATGAATTTGATGACTTCAGACTCGACTTGGACTTGCATAACAATGACTTTGTCCCACCTCTGAGGTGTGGACTCGAGTCATGTGACTTGGACTCGAGTCAGACTCGAGTCATGAATTTGATGACTTCAGACTCGACTTGGACTTGCATAACAATGACTTTGTCCCACCTCTGGCAATACGTTCATGAGCAAAATGCCACTGTCGAGGCCTGCGAGCCACGAGAGGGCTTTGGCTATACCTCTGTTGAAGGAGCGAAGACTACACTGGTGTACATAATCAACGTTTTTTTGGGTTTAGATCGTGTTTATTTATAAATGTGTCGTAACCCTCCACCACCCGACACGGCCAATCAGTAAAAAAGTGTCACGTTGACAAAGACAAATAGTTCACTGCTTTAGCCCACCGGTGTGTTGAAGCCACAACATTTACAATTTGAGTACGACGTTTCGCTGGTAATTGCAACCAGCATCATCGGGCAATTCGCCAGAATTCGCCAGAATTGCCCGATGATGCTGGTTGCAATTACCAGCGAAACGTCGTACTCAAATTGTAAATGTTGTGGCTTCAACACACCGGTGGGCTAAAGCAGTGAACTATTTGTCTTTGTCAACGTGACACTTTTTTACTGAGTGGCCGTGTCGGGTGGTGGAGGGTTACGACACATTTATAAATAAACGCGATCTAAACCCAAAAAACGTTGATTATGAATAACATTGGTCGCGAAAGCCTACGTGTTACACTGGTGTACTATGCGGTCCATAGTTTGTGTTTCCTGCCCACAATCGTACTACTGTGGCTTGGTGTCTTTAATTTTCCATTCACGAAGGAGATGTCCGCGCATCGGCCTGTTGATGCGGGTGATGGTTACACCACCAGTGTCTACGGGGAATGTCAAAGCCAGGAGGTTATGATGATGCTTGGGTCTCGTTTGTTCCACTCTATTCGCCAACAGCAGCGTTCTTCCGCAACTGGGTGAGGTTCTAGGATGGCGACAGCAGCAGTGCGATCCCAGAAGGGGCATCGGGACTCGAGACAAAGGCGACATGACATTGTTGAGATCTTGGTTGATGACGTTTGTAGGTTGGTTGTCTTCGGCAAGAAGAGGCGTCACCTCCCTTGCAGCTTTTGCGTGATGTCTCTGTGGATATTTGGTTTGCAGAATGTTTGCAAGGACAGGGAGCCGGGTGATTGTTGTCGGTTTGAATGCTCCAGTTTGTGATGCGTGTTGTGTCGTGTTGAGTGAACCCCCAGTTGAAACTTTGAAGCTAATTTTTATTCGTGATTGAAATGTGTGAACGCATGCGCGCACAAAAAACGAGACAATACGAATGGGAAATACAATCACAAGGACGTGTTATCGTAAACCGATATCGCATTCATCATCATATCGTGAAATTTAACATGATACCTTGTCATATCCTGATAAAAAATATGTTGTGGCATCCCTAGCATGAGCACACAAATAAAATAAATAAAAATATATAGCTTGATGTGAAATTGGTTCAGTTACTTTGGTGTTTTCCCCTCGCATGTGTTAGTTTTCTCCAGTTGCTCCGATTTTCCTCCTGCATGTAAGACACTCATCATTCATTGGCTTCAAACACCTTAATAATACATAGAGAGGACCGCAGAGCGTGGGCAATTGTTGGTCGCGCCGGCTCAACCTTACGTGGCTCCTGCTGCCGACTTTCCCCTCCCGTCCGGTTCATCCTCGCGCCTCCCTGAGTCGACCCTATCCATGTGATGGTGGCGCTTTGAGTGGCAGAATTGCGACTAAAGGTCGCCACGTGTCGTGACAAGGCCAACACGGTGGTGGCGTGTAGCGTAGTAGTATCGACAAGGCTCGATTGTTGCAACTCGCTGCCCTACGGGACGTCTGGCAAAAACATTAGCAAGCGGCAGCGTGCACAAAATTCTCTGGCACTTGTGATGGGTACTGCAAGATCCGACCGTGTCCGTCCGGTGCTCACCGAGCTGCATTGGCTTCTGGTCGCCGAACGAATACATCACGAGGTCGCACTCATTACACACAAAGTGCTTGCCACAAATGAACCGCAATACCATGCTGATCTCAAGGAGCATAAACCAACATCGCACGATCTCCAGTCGTCCTCGCAGCAGCGGCTTTTGGCTGGCCATCGAACAAAGGCGCATCGCGCACTTTCAGATGCGCTTCTGCGGCCATCTGGAACGCTCTTGCGATATTAGGAAGCCACCAGAGCTATGCACTTTTAAATCATTTAGATTGAACACTCATTTCTTTAGAAGTGCTTTTTGTGTTTAGTTTGTTGTTCTTTCCCCGCACCTCCAATTAGCACAATTGAGTATGTACGGTGCAACATACCGTACATACATCACTAACCAGCCCATCAACGATGCCAAAAACGCACACCACACGCGACATTCGTACCGTGCAGCAATACCCCGGTTTCCGTCCGGGGATGCAAAACGGCGTAAATCGAAGCGCATTACAGGACCGGTGGTGGAGGTGAAGGTTTGAGGCGACGGATACAAGAGAGGGCGGATGGTGCAGTCAGCGATGTAAGTCTGCGGGGTTGAGGCGACGCTAAACGGGTGCGACGTATTTGCGAAACGATGCCAGAATCATGATCATGATCAGAATGTTTATTTATACTGCAGGAGGAATCCGATTAGCTATGAAGCTCCTTTTCACAGATGTCCATTTGGGGGCACGGGGTACGAACGTTACAACAACAAACGCAACACTCACAAGCACGATGAGAGTGCAAAGTATAGGGAAGGTAAGCAAATCGCTACAAAAATAAATACTAATTAAACTAAACTATTTATATTTTACCAGGTAAAGACCCACCGAGACCAGTAGCTTATTTTGCAGACTTAATATCGGGGCATTGCCGTGCTTCAAACTCGCGATTGGCTACGTACAGTGCGAAAGAAGTCCAACATACACGCGGTCTGTTCCCCTATACAGCGGTGGCAGTTGCGTTCCCGAAGAACGCTGCGCTTCGGAAACATCGCGTTATAATAAAGAATAATATAGAGGTAAAGCGCAGTCCACGATAACACGTGAGATGCGTATGCAGGCCGAACAAATAGAGTAAAAGCTTGGATTGCGAGCAATCCAAAGCACTCGTATATCAAAGCACTCGTATATCAGTTGTGATCACGTGACGCTCGGCAGACAAAGCGTAGACACGTGCTACTCGTATTGCAAGACCTCGCTCGTTTATCAAATTAATATTTATTTTAAAAATTTGCTCGTCTTGCAAAACACTCGCAAGTTACTCGCAATCCAAGGTTTTACTGGTAATATTAAAAACGATGGACATTTATAAAAACGCGCCAAATCTTGCCGACTGGTCAACAAACTCGGAGGCGTGGAGCCAAGCTGAGGGCTGCTCGAAAGCCCGGATCCAGATAGAGATAGAAGAGGCATTTCGATGTTTCGAGAAAGTCCGAGTACATTTGATGTTGCCGATGTGCAAAGGGATTGGAGAGTTCCACACCAATGGGGGCGACAGCAAAGAACCAACGTGAGGATGTAACAGTATAGTGTAGTTCTAGATTTGAAGCTTTCGTGACTGCAAGGATTCATATTCTTAGGTTTTTTTCGGTAAAGTCACGTAGGTAAAAAATTAAAATTAATAAAAGTAAAATAAAATAAAAATCACGACGTTTCGGAGGCAACACAAGCTTCCGTCTTCAGGTGGAACCGTCACAGCCACGATAGCTTTTTATTAATATGGTAAGGTGAGGCTTAAGACTAAGAATAGACTTAAGCCTCACCTTACCATATTAATAAAAAGTGTGCCGTACTTGGCCCTTCCCCTCTTCAACCATTATATAAACGGAGTGGTAGCTCTTGTAATCTCTCATTTACTTGATACAGCTGTCGTGGCTGTGACGGTTCCACCTGAAGACGGAAGCTTGTGTTGCCTCCGAAACGTCGTGATTTTTATTTTATTTTACTTTTATTAATTTTCATTTTTTACCTACGTGACTTTACGGAAAAAACCTAAGAATATAGTATAGTGTAGTGTATTGTGTAGTCTATAGTAGTGTACTGTGCAATATAGTGTAGTGTATAGTATATAGTAGTGTAGTTTGTAGTTGTGTAGTGTTATAGTGTGTATAGTGTAGTGTATAGTGTAGTGTATAATCGTGTAGTGTATAGTCGTTTAGTGTATAGTGGTGTAGCGTTTAGTGTAGTGTATAGTAGTGTATAGTCGTGTAGTGTATTGTCGTGTAGTGTATAGTGTAGTGTATAGTGTAGTGTATAGTAGTGTAATGTATAGTCGTGTAGTGTATAGTCGTGTAGTGTATAATGTAGTGTATAATCGTGTAGTGTATAGTCGTGTAGTGTATACCGACGCGAGGCTGTAACAATTCGTGCGAGCCAGAGCACCAGCGCTGCAAGACGCTCAGAGAGATTTTCATTTCCATGATCACGAGTGGGGCTTATTGATGCATATGTTCAGAAGTCGACTGATTGGGGGTGTGGAGGGGGGAGTGTATAGACAATCAAAAGTGGTCCAAACACGGAACCCTGAGGGATCCCGCACGAGTGATTTCTAATGGTGGATGTGGATTCACCTCCTTTTAACAGGAGGTCCTCCCGGCCGAATGGGATGAGGTCCATTTTAGGACTAATCCTCCGATTCCAAAGTCAGACTCAAAGAGACTGGTTGCGCTGTAGGTGAACCACAGCAGCAAGAGCTGGTGAAATGTCCAGACCCAGTGAGAGCCGTGATTGAACCGGAGTCGACGATTGGAAGATGGTCGTCGAAGGCTCTGGCAATTGCAGTCTCCGTGGAGAAAGTATCACGCTAGGCAGATGGATAGGGGCAAAGGTTCAGTGAAGAGGCAAATGTTAGTCTGAAAGTTGTGCGAGGGCAAGACGCCCAAGGAGTTTAGAAACGGCGGAGAGGTTAGTTTAACACGTAGGAATGAAAAGGACGGACTTGTCCACAAATCTGGCTTTCGCCTGATGAAGCTGGTTGTAATTACTGGCAAAACGTTGTACTCTGATTGTAAATGTTGTGGCTTGGCTCGCCAACACACCGGTTTGCTGTTCTAGTATAGTACACTATACGCTAGTGCTGTACAAGTATACTACACTATACACTACACTATACAATACGTTGTACACTAGTGCTTTATTAGTATACTACACCATACACTACACACTAGTGCTGTACTAGTACACTACACTATACTATACACTAGTGCTGTACTAGTATACGACACTATACACTACACTATACACGACACTACACACTAGTGCTGTACTAGTATACTGCACTATTCACTACACTACACACTAGTGCTGTACTAGTATACGACACTATACACTACACTACACACTAGTGCTGTACTAGTGACGAATTGGCACGTTCTGTTTACGTGACGACCCTTACTAGTTGGCGGTGGCGGGTTTTAACAACACATTTATATATTTACACGATCTAACCCAAAAAAAAAAAACTCTATTACGGTGGAGAGGTTAGTCATCGGCCGGTAGCCGTCAGGGTTGCCAGTATCTAATCGGGTGGTGAAACTTGTCTTATTCTAAAAGATGAAAATTAAGCGTTTGCGATGGAGCGCAGTCGCAATAAGGAGTTCGGTGGGAAAAAAATGTGTTTAAAGAAGGCCCCAAGAAGGATGTTAAGAGGAGACGCGGCTTCATGTAAACTTGATTGAATTAAAGCAAGAACGTCTTTCCGTGATACAGGGGTAGAATTTAGATAAGAAATTATGGGGGGGGGGGGGGGTGAAGCGTGAGGAATAAGAGCTGGGAAACCGAGGGAATTTAAGAGTGGGAATTGAAAGAAGCAGTGATGGAGCTTGTAACGAGTGCCAGTTTGTTAGTAAAAAATGTATTGCCGTCATCACGAACGCTTGTGTTGCGATCGAAACGTCGTGATATTTGTACTCACTTTATTTGATTATTATATTGTTATTTTTTCAATCTACGTGACTTTACCGAAAGAACCATGGGATATGAATTCCTTCAGTCACGGAAGCTTTAAGTTAGAATCTATCGCCGTGACTTTACCGAAAGAATCATAGAATGTGAATTCCTTCAGTCACGGAAGCTTTCAGTCAAAATCTATCGCCGTGACTTTACCGAAAGAATCATAGGATGTGAATTCTTGCAGTCACGGAAGCTTTCAGTCAAAATCTATCGCCGTGACTTTACCGAAAGAATCATAGAATGTGAATTCTTGCAGTCACGGAAGCTTTCAGTCAAAATCTATCGCCGTGACTTTACCGAAAGAATCATAGAATGTGAATTCCTTCAGTCACGGAAGCTTTCAGTCAAAATCTATCGCCGTGACTTTACCGAAAGAATCATAGAATGTGAATTCTTGCAGTCACGGAAGCTTTCAGTCAAAATCTATCGCCGTGACTTTACCGAAAGAATCATAGAATGTGAATTCTTGCAGTCACGGAAGCTTTCAGTCAAAATCTATCGCCGTGACTTTACCGAAAGAATCATAGAATGTGAATTCCTTCAGTCACGGAAGCTTTCAGTCAAAATCTATCGCCGTGACTTTACCGAAAGAATCATAGAATGTGAATTCTTGCAGTCACGGAAGCTTTCAGTCAAAATCTATCGCCGTGACTTTACCGAAAGAATCATAGAATATGAATTCTTGTAGTCACGGAAGCTTTCAGTCAAAAGCTATCGCCGTGACTTTACCGAAAGAATCATAGAATGTGAATTATTGCAGTCACGGAAGCTTTCAGTCAAAATCCAATCGACGAGACTTCACCGAAAAGACCCAAAGAATACGAAGTGAAACTCGTTCAGGCGACCTCTGCCGGAGCAACCTCGACGGGCCGAACGACGCCGAGCATCCGCTTCATCTGCCCAAGGATCTCCTTGTCGCGAAGGCCGTACACGACAGGCGCCACGAGTCTGGAGAGAACGAAGAGCGCCACGTACGTCGCGGAACGCGCCACGCTGGAGGCGCGCGGGTCTCCGATCGCCGCGCCCACCACCGCCAGCACGGCCGAGTTCGCCAGCGAGCAGATGTAGAGGACGAGCTGCAGCGAGTGGAGCGCCACGGTGTTGCGCGCCTTCGACGCTCCGCCGGAACCCGTGGCGGTGGCGGTGGCGGTGGCGGTAGCGGCGGCGACGCGCCTCGCCGCACCGAACACCTTCACGTAGCTGAACGCGACGGCGACGCTGCTGGCCACGAACGCCGCCGCGTTCGTCGCCTCGCGCAGGACCAAGAGCGCGGTCGCGTTGGGCATGAGCCCCTCGATCCGTTCGACGGCGCACACGGCCTCGTTGGCGGGCAGCGGCACGCCATCCGAGACGAGCAGGAGGACGCGCGCGAGGGGCGACCACGCGCAACCGCTCCAAACGGCGGCGAGCGACGCGACGAGGGCGACGGGGCGGTCGAACCAGGCGTGGTAGCGCAGCGGGTGGCAAACGGCGGCGTATCGCTCGAGGGACATGAGGGTGACGCAGAGGAGGCCCGCGTACTTGAGTGCGCTCGCGACGAGCGCGAACGCGTAGCAGGGCACGGCGGGGATGGGCACCCGTTGCCACACGAGGATGGCGACGGTGTCGGAGGAGATGAGGAAGAGGCTGTCGCAGAGCAGCAGGTTGGCGAAGAGGACGTGGCGGTAGTTGTGGCGGAGGCGCGTGCCCAGAATCGCGGCGAGGATCCAGGCGAGGAAGCAGAGGGACGGCAGCATGGTGAAGGCGTTGATGCCGTTGATGAGGTCGATGATCAGGCCGTAGGGTAAGTAAGTGGCGACCGTGGCGTTGGCATGCGGAGGAGGCGGTGGTGGTGACGCCAGCGCGCTTGCGTTGAGACCAGAGGCGTTCATGTCTCTTTCGCACCTCCCATGCGCAACGGGCTACAAGAATTGACCTTCCGAAGATACTCTATTCCGTTCTCGCGCGACGGTTACGACGGTGGTGGTGATGGTGGTGGTGCCAACAGCGACGTTATTGTTGTTCTTCAGAAGCTCGATGCCAATGTCCTGCTGCTGCTGCTGCTACTGCCACAACGAGAGGACTTCAGCAGAGAGAGAGAGAGAGTTCGCGTGATGCTGCTGTTCGATGGGTCTCTATGTGTCTCTATGGGTTTGTGTCTCTACGCATCTGTATGAGTCTATGGCTTTACTATAGAGTCTCTATGGCTCTCTATGTTACTACGGGGTTCTATGCATCTCTATGAGTCTATGGGTTTACTATACAGTCCACAGTTTGGATAGCATAGCCATGGACAATTACTGTACTTATCTTGAACTTCTTTCGCACCCTACATAGCCCACCGTGCTAATCGGAGGTGCGGTGGAAGTGACAGGTAACAAAAAATTATAAAGAAACGAATTTTCAATTTAGTGTAGTGTATCGTAGTGTATCATGTTTTAGTGTATAGCATAGTGTATAGTGTAGTATGTAGTGTAGTGTGTATTGTAGTGTATAGTGCAGTGTATAGTGTAGTGTGTATTGTAGTGTATAGTGTAGTGTATAGTGTGTATTGTAGTGTATAGTGTAGTATGTCGTGTAGTGTGTATTGTAGTGTATAGTATAGTGTAGTGTGTATTATAGTGTAGTGTGTATTGTAGTGTATAGTATAGTGTATAGTGTAGTGTGTATTATAGTGTAGTGTGTATTGTAGTGTATAGTGTAGTGTGTAGTATAGTATGTTGAATTTCTTTCGCAGCGCACGTAGCCACCTTTGCTAATCGGAGGTGCGGGGGGAAGCACAACAAACTAAACACAGCAACAAATCTAGACGATGATTTTAAAGTGCAGCACAGCGCCAGTGGCTTACCCTAACAAATACATCGTCTTTTGTATTTCGCGTTCACTCCAGAGCCTAACGGAGCAAATAAACCCCCTCCAAACAAATACAATCGACCGTTAAACCGACTCACGGGAGGTCCGAGGAAAAAAAATGTCGAATTAAATAAAGTGTTGGAAACGCACAACGTTGTTTGTGTAAAATAATTTTTTAAAAAGTCAAATTTGTTCATCAGCCCATGACGACGAAGACGACCATGATGGCCGGCGTGATTTTGTCCGATTGAACCTAACCCACGACGCCTTGATTTTTGCAACCGGCACCACGAATGCTCTTAAATATTAGAACGGTGGGTGGGGGGAGGGGGTGGAGAGGTGGGGGGAGGAGGGGCCACGGGAATGGTCGTCATTGATGACCTCGATAACGTCACTCGTCATCGCTTGGAGTCACGCCTCAAGCCCCTTTACGGACCCCATGCGCTTAAAGCTTCAACGATGCCATGGGCAGTGTTAGTCTATGGGCAATGTTAGTCTATGGGCAATGTAAGTATATGGGCAGTGTGAGTCTATGGGCAATGTTAGTCTGTGGGCAATGTTAGTCTATGGGCAGTGTAAGTCTATGGGCAATGTTAGTCTATGGGCAGTGTTAGTCTATGGGCAGTGTTAGTCTATGGGCAGTGTTAGTCTATGAGCAGTGTTAGTCTATGGGCAGTGTTAGTCTATGGGCAATGTAAGTCTATGGGCAGTGTAAGTCTATGGGCAGTGTGAGTCTATGGGCAATGTTAGACTATGGGCAATGTTAGACTATGGGCAATGTTAGTCTATGAGCAGTGTTAGTCTATGGGCAATGTTAGTCTATGGGCAGTGTTAGTCTATGGGCAATGTAAGTCTATGGGCAGTGTTAGTCTATAAGCAATGTTAGTTTATGGGCAATGCAAGTCACTCTTATAACTCAACTACCATGGTTACTGGTTCCGTGAATTGGATGGACACTCGGTGTCCAACAACCACTACACTGCAGACAACAACAACTCACCCACTTCCTCACCCACCTCCTTACACACCACACTGCAGGTCACAATAACTCACCCACTCTCACCCATCCACCATACTGCAGGTTGTATCAACACCAACTCAAACTACTACACTGCAAGTCCAAAATACGTATCTTTCTGCTTCTTCTCTCGACACGGCTCCACTTTTTATTTCACTCTTCCCATCACCCGTCTCGTGATCCAAGCCCCTTTTAGTGAATAACCCCCGGCTCAAATTCAACACACGGGTTATCTTCTTGGTTCTTTCGGTAAAGTCATCACGTAGAATGGAAATAATAAAATAATAAAATAAAACGTAATAAAATAATTCTCACGACGTTTCGGCCACAACGCAAGCAGCCATCCTCAGGTGAAGACCAGGTCTGTCGGGGAGACAGCGTCTGAATGAAACACCACCACGCTTGGAGAGTATATTTAAGCTGGGTTGGAAGGGGCAGAGCGCCTTGACAAAAGAATTTGCATAGCAAGAGAAATTTAGCATATTTATGGCAAATGCAGATATGTGATTAGTACTACTTGTGAAATGCGTAGGGGGTTGTCATCTACACTACACTACTGTACACAACACTTCTATACAACTGTAGTGTGCCAATTCACAGACACTAGTAGGAGGTACTCTCTATCTCTTTATTTCCGGCCTTCACAGCCTTCGGGGATAACCCCATACCGGGTGGGGACAGCCAGCATGCTGCCAGACCCACGGCTTGCAGAATGGAGAAGATCACGACGAAATCAGCCCCACCAGTTCCACTCCCCACCGCAGCAGCCCCAATTGTGAGTCGGAGCTTGCCTTATATCCTCAACAGTGTGGCCGGCTCCGCCCCCCCCCCGTACCTCTTTAGATCCCCCAGATTGATCCGTGCCTTGCCCACAGGTGCAACTGGTAGAACGGGCTGTTACCCATAATTCTATTGTTCACAGAACTATTCCTGCAATTGGCGTGCAGTGATGATCATGTCCATTGTGATTCTAGATTTGAAGCTTTCGTGACTGCAAGGATTCATATTCTTGGGTTTTTTCGGTAAAGTCACGTAGGTAAAAAATTAAAATTTATTATTTTACTTTTATTAATTAAATTTTCTTACATACGTGACTTTACCGAAATAACCCAAGAATATGTCCATTGTGCTTCTAGTCTTTCTGAAGCCGCACTGGGACTCCTCTGGTAGCAAGTCTTCAGTGATGGTGTCAATGAGTATGCGGAGCATGACCTTGGCCAGGACTTTGCCAGAAACTGCAAGGATGGATATGCCCCTGCTGTTGCCGCAGATGGATTTGTCCTCCTTGTTTTTGTATCCCTCCATTGATGGGGGATGATGCTCTCTTGCCTACATATCTCAGAGATGAACAGGTGAACTGCTCTGGTGCAGAGATAGTCCCCCTGTTTCAGGATCTCAGCAGGGAATGTAATCAGGTCCAGGAGTCGTGTTGTTCATCAGCGACCTGATGGCGGTGGAAACCTCAGAAAAACGTCGGTGGGAGATCAAGGCTCTGGATGGTGGGCAGTGTTGGGCGCTCCTCCAGGACTGAGTGATCAAGTGGGTTCGGCTGGTTTAAGAGAACTCCAAAGTGTTTACCCCACCTCTGGGCTATCTTAGTTTGGTCCTGCACTTCCGAGGGGACGTGCTTTGGAGATCCACCACTCATTTTGCAGGTGTCGTAGAGCACGCTGTGCTTACACCTCTGCTCCTGCCATTGACTTTTGAGCGCCTCAGAAATGGGGTTGTTGAGTGTGGCTTTAAGCACTATGTGCACGCTGTCAAGTAGGGTGGAGATGTATGTGGAGTTTTCGTCGAACCAGACCTGGTGTTTCTTGCTGCCTTCGCTGACGGAGTGGGCTGCTGACGCATAGAGCAATGAACTTGGGGAGGACCATTTATCGTCAAACGAACCCTCCGCACTCAGGAGAGTCTCAATGTTCTCGAGTTTTTAAATCCTTTATATTAAGTTCGCTTGCTTGCTTAGGACCGTGCAAATCTTTCGGTCGTTTTTTAACCCACTTCCCGTGATCCAATCGAGCTGACATTTTGCACACAGACTCGTTGTGCGTGACAATGCATTTTCGTGAAAAAATATTTTCCAAAATTTTACACTGTTTAGGGAATTTTTTTAAAATATTTAATTACCAATTGTTTAATGCTGCCAGACAATCATCTGACCCATAGGTGGCAGCCATCTCAAGCCAGAGGACGAGAGGACTCTAGCCGCCCCGATGCCACGCATATAAAGGATTTATAGTGAAAAACTTTGTTTTTACGGGTTTACTTGTTTTTCTGCTAGAGGGCGGCATAGGTTGTTGCCTGCCTCTGGTTCTTGATGTCGAGCACAGTGCAGCCCTTTTATTGGTGGACTTCTTGAGGCGGACGGCTGGGCGAACCTTCATTCTGAGCTCGACTAAGATCATCCGATGATCCGTCCAGCACTCCACTCCTATCACGGCTCGTGTAATGAGAACGTCCCTACCATCAGAGCGCCTGACAATCATATAATCTATGAGGTGCCAGAAGGTTTTGTAACTGTTTTTCATTCGGAACATGGTTTTGGTGATGGTGAGTTCATGTTCAGCACAAAGGCTTAGCAGTCTCAATCCATTCGTATTAGCATGACCAACAATCTGATGTTCTATCACTCCACTCCATATCTCACAATCTCTCCCCACTCTTGCGTTGAAGTCACCGAATAACAGGATAACAGGATTTTGTCATTTTTGGGGACTCTATGGAGGGCCTCGTTCAGCATCTCGTAAACAGTGGTGTTTAGCTTCATCTTATGATGGTACAGTTGGGGTATAAGCACCGATGAGTGTGGCATGCTGCTTTTCAACGAGTGAAATGCGGAGTGACATAAGCCTTTCACTTACACCAGTTGGTGTTTCTGTGAGATTTGGAAGGAGGCCAGTTCTTCACGGCAATGCCCACACCATGCGGATGTTGCACTTCTGGACGGGTATCTCTTGCAGAAGAAGGTGTAGTCCCTCTTCTTCTTCCCTGAGTGACCGGTGGGGTACTCTGAACTATATA